TACGGGTGTAGTTATAAGAGCGAATCCTCGTTCATTAGTGATTATAATTGGAGGATATTGGATTGGTTAATTACATGTGTATTTGGAACAGTATTAATGGAACTATTGCCTTATAGTAGACCTCTAGGTGATCATCGATCACCTCGTAGCCATTAATGTATTCGAAAATCAACAAACCTTCGCAAGCATCGCGACCGCTATACTCTCTCGACTCTCGATCACGAATAACATCGCTACTTTGCCTATTCCCCATTACACAAGTACTAAAGGAAAAAACGGCATTAGGATAGAGGTGATATCATTTGTTACTCTACCACAATCCGTAAAACTCCGTGACTTTACAGTGACCCATTATTACCTATTTTTACAGATTATCCTGCGCACAACAGCCGCGATTGACATCCTGAAGTCCGGTCATGAGACTGTCGGTAAAGCCTAGCCTTGTTCCTCAAAGTTGTCATTGAAATTGGTCAATCAATTCCGTGATGCCGTTGGCATGTTGAGCCCGTGCATTCGAGTGCTGGTGCAGATTGAAAAGGCTGTGCTGCAACCCCTACTACATCTGCTAATCGTATAAGGCGTTATGGCACCACATTAAGTGGTCTAACGTGTATTTGTTTGGGCATTCGTCTGAAGGAGTGACAGATGCGTTAAGTAGAGGCTGTAAGCAGATGGGCGAGCTCAGACTAGATTTTTCAATCACGCCCTTCCAATACCGTCAATGGATGAACTCAGGGCAGCCGGGTTTCCAATGAATGCTTTGGACGAGAACATCGTTGCACCTCGCAAGATAAGCTCAGGGCGGCCTGGAGAGACCATAACGGAAGTATTTCAGCTCCAAGCAAATCTCATTAGGGGAGGTCTAATCCCCACCTTCCTCGGCCAGCATCAAGCAATGGACGGTGTTAGCCAGGGCGTCATCAGTGGAGACATATTCGAAACCAGGAGGTAACGTTTGCGTGGCGGCTGATTTGAGCGTTCTTAGCGAGGATGAAGACAGACTGAAATGAGACGAAGTCGTCACACTTTGCAGGTTACCTTGCAAGACCGTATACCGTACTGTACAGCCAGAACCAGAAGTGATAATTCAGGCTTTTAGAAAGCAGTAGTGTAATATGTGATTAGGGGACTGGGACCAGACCTTGCGACCATATTAGTTCTGCTTCGAATGTGGCAGACATGATACGGACCTAGCTCCTCATATAGCGTGACGTGTAGCGTAGGGGAATACTTCCAAGGACAGAAGCAGCCCTGGTCTCTCAAGTTACACCGCGGCACAAGACCAATCGTTTAAAAGTCGAGCTTTCAATCATTAACATGAGTATTTTGTACTATTCAACAACATTTTCTACTGTACAAGTCGAGAGAATGAGATGAAATGATTATAGCGGTCCATCAGTCTCCAAAGCCAATCCTTCTCACGTATAAGGCTAGAGCTCTTTATTTTGAGAGCCGTTAAAGTTAAACAACCAGTTGTAGTCACAAAGTGGCCTCTCCAACCGTAATTAGTACGTCGCTCGAGGATTATCGATAATAATATCTCCCTAGAACAATAGCGCATTAATACGGACATTTAGCATATCCATTACCTAAATTGGATTTATTCGATAAGCTACGAGCAAGCCTTCTATATATATTTAGGGCCTAGTTTACGATAAGAATATCGCTTCCTAGAATAAAACAAGCATGCACGTAGAATCTTTTCTAACTCTTGTACTAATAACGCCCCTAAAGCGAGACACGGAATATGTGATAATAACGACCTAGCTTCTTCTCATGTCTTGATATGCTTAGCAGTACTATATAAAAAATGGCAAATCATTGCTGTTAACCTCGTCCATATTCTTTCCCGAAGTAGTCGAGGAAAGTGGCAACAAACAACAAGCATCATCGATACTACCTACTCAATTAAAAGCGTTACGATACGATTAACATGTGTGCAAAGAGCTCGACTTGCCCAAGCAAATGCTAGCCAGTACAGATACGCGCCAACGCTCGTGCTACATTTAAAGGTCAAGTCTGTTACACGTTAACCGGGATGCCGACCACTACGCCAGGCAATAGAAAAGGGCTGGTACCATCGACTCCAAAGCTTGGCTAATACTAATAACAGTTTGTAACCCACCAACTACCAACAAATAAACCTATATGGCATCGCGATGGAATAGATAGCTACGCACTGACTAACAAGTAAGCCGATACACTCCAACCCTGCGGCGCGCTGTGGCGCAATACTGCAAGCTACAAGGCTTCGAACAACTAACCAAGCGGATGAAGGAGAGACCGGGCGGCGGTTTCCTTGGCGGAAGTGCAAGAAAACAGGGCACTTAAAAAGCACATTAAGCAAACTGTTACGAACGAAGGCCAGGAACCAGGCCTGAAGTGGAGAGAAGAAGCATAGGGCAACCAATCACCACTACTAAGATTCTATTAGACAAAGAAAGCACAGGACCCTGGGTCACGTGACTTAGGAGCAACACAGGGACGGCGCTTCATACGACTCTAGGAGCGACAGAAGCATTGCGCTCCCAACGCTCCAAGAAGTATCAATGAAGGAATGAATAGATATAATAAAGATTAGGTTTCCTGCTCTACATAGACAGTCATTACTTTAGTGATCATCTAAGCATCTATCTTACCCATAGGTGAAGCTTAAGCTTTGACGACTACACTTGTGAATCTCTATTGCTCAGTATACTCTAAAGGTCTATCTCTATAGTCTTCTCTTTGCGGCTAGCATATCTTGTTAGCATAACCCAGCCCATTATATCATTTGTGGTTTTGCAACCCGATAATATAATCGTTATGCAAACATGGCCTGATGTAAGCTTGGAGGTGAAGTTTAGCTACAAGAAGAGTTTAGAGGTCAATCTTCGGTTAACCCGCATGTGGAACATTCTGACCAAAGGTTTCGAAAAAGGTGAAATAGGTGCTCTTGGCCTTGGCGAAGGTATCATTCTGGCTGCCACACCCGAGGCGTTCCGGATTATGTAAGCCACGCAAAACCTAGTGTGGAGGTGAGAGGCTTAAAGATGATATAGAAACGACAAAAACGAGCCACACACGTTAGTGGAACAGCTCTTGCACGACACCTAGGTAATGATGGCTGTATGTCAGGTTCTGCATCCAGCTGCGCAAAGCCTGCTCTAGTACCATCGATTGACCGCCGATCTGGACTGACTTCGATATGAAAAAGTTTGCAGTGGCTCGTAAGGTTATAGATTATCAGATCATCGGACCGATCTGGCATCTATTCAAAGTTATAGACGGTCATTCATAAGCTCCGCTGTTGTTGTCACGGCCATGCGTTTGTCAATATCTAGGAGAGATGGCTGAACTAGCAGCTTCGATTAGGTCTAATAGTCCTTGCCCACGTATGTTGAAGTTCTTTGTACACCATCTGAGCGTGGACCGTGCAGTGCAAAAGAAGGTTATGATTGTAATATAATAACAGAACGAGACCATAGCTATCTCCGATAATAGATTTTGGCTCGAATATTGACCGAAAGAACCCTGTGTATTCTAGCTTTTCTGGAGCGAATACTGGAGCAACAAGACAGTGACGCTCCAGTGATTTCCAGTTATAACAGCAAATGACCCACATCTAAAAGCCCAACCAAGTTTCATAACATTACATGTAGTAGATTGCCAGAAGAGATCTAGTAGATCGGCAGTGCTGACATCTATCGTCCATCCAATTTACAGTACATCATAAAATACTGGGGCTATGGAGCCACTAACATCATTCATCCTGCGAGACCTGGCTAGCGCGTCCATTGTATTCGTTATTGACAGTCCTGAAGGATTCACGGACCCATATATTTCTAGGTAGAATAAACACATATTTAATCAAATGCACAGATCAAGATGATTCAAACAAGCAAGGTTTCCCGAACGCACATATCGTAACTGCACATGACCTCGTATTTGTAGACGAAGCTAGCAAATTATGAGTTCCCATCTTGAGACGCTTTAAGCCGGGGTTAATCAGCCGGTAATAGCACTCTGTTCAGTCATGGCGGGCTTACGGTAGGCGAACACATTGATCGGCTTCTCTTTGAGTTAAAAGCGGTTACGCGACTCTGTACACTGACTCGACCGAAAGTGACCAAGGTTATACCTGATTCGGTCGAAGTGGAAATAGCGACAATTCACAAGCGGCTGAAAATGGCAATACAGTCGTTCGGCAACCGACACAAATCAGAAGCAGACCCATGGTGAGCCAGGAAGCCAATTCATGGCTAGTAGCGGGAAGTGGTCCTCAAATTGAAAAAAATTAGAATGAATTACTTGTGGGCCGGTAACAAGCTCATCTCCACAAATCTGGTGGGTAGTCTGAAACCGGGCGCTTTGGGAATATTCGAACAGCTCTCGTCGCGTAAGAGTTCTGGTCTAATCGGTGGTGATTCTGCTGTCGTAACTTCGTTTAGTATGATATCATCCGGGGACTGTGCGTTGTCGTAAGGTTATGTAGTGACTATATGATATTTCGAGTATGAAACAGGTAGGCTAGACACTTTTTGGTGTTACAGATTCCCTGCCGAGAAAGCATGCTGACAGGGTCTTGTCATACTGACTGCATGTCAGCTCGTGGTCGCATCCGAAAACGGTCCAACTGGCATACGGCTACGAGCTTGCGGATGCTGATCCCCAAACTGTTTTGTATGATACAGAGAGAGTGATTAGTGCATCGCTTGATTCGTATCACCACCCTCGTGCAGCGGTGAGTCACTGAAGCAAACATAACTGAGTCGCAAATATTGACTCTGATTTAGGAAGGTGCTGATCGCCTATGCGGGCCTCTCAATAGTATAAGTATAAGTTGGTAAGACGCCACAGGGAGGAGCTTGGTCGTTGAGTTCTCCCGCAACTTTTACGCTCACAACAGTGCTTCTCCAAGGACTGTTCCATTTCATCCATACGTAGCTTGCTTACTTACCCTGCTCAGCACCTTCTTAAACGGGGACTTGCAGGTGTTCAAGATTTGAGACGAGATGGCTATGGAATCTATGTCAGCCGTGTTCGCGGGCGCCTTCAAATCCGAACGTCTGGTCTACCGGAGCATGGAAGATACAGAGGCAGACAGAGATTGGATGTGGAAGAACCTTTGGAACAATCCAGTCAATGTGGGCTTGGCCAATCTTGCGACATTCGTGCCACCCTCGCAAAGGAATTTCAAGAAAGATTGGGAGCAGATATTGTCCAGAGCCCTGGTCGCAGTCTTCATTTGCCTACCGCCCCCAAAGAAGGCGGAGGGTGTGGACTCCGACCCAGCTGATAAGGCACAGGAAAAAGATGTGAAAGACGATGGAAGCACGATCATTGGCATGATTTGCCTCTCGAAATATGCCATCGACACCTTCAAAAGGCGTACTGGCATTGGCCTGCAAATCGCAGATGAATACCAAAACAAAGGATATGGGAGAGAGGCTATAAACTGGGCGCTCGACTGGGCTTTCAACTTTGGCGATATGAACAAGGTAGAGATTGGGACTGCATCGTATAATGACAGGGCAGCAGCATTGTACGAGAGTATTGGGTTCAAGCGCGAGGGTGTCAAGCGGCATGCATTTTTCATGAACAGAAAGTATTGGGATATCATTGATTTCGGCATGCTCATGGACGAATGGGAGGAATTGAGGGGGCTGAAGGCAGAGGCCAACGATGTTCCTCTTGGGAAAAAATAACGTGAAGTAGAATATCGATTGTTAGGAAAAAAAATTGTGTCAGCTCTTAGGAATCTTCTACTAGTCTTTTTGTTCTTGGCCATGTGTAGATATCAAACATGGCCAAGTTCGCGTCTTTCAGCTCAGTATGAATGTGTGTGTTGTTGGGAATGGTAGGTAGATAATGCCAGATAATTAACCACTGTACAATCAACAGCCCTCCAAAAGAATGCGTGCCATGATGCTTCTATCGTCTGAGACTAAACCTTTCAAGTAAAACTTTACAACGTCCCACCAATTCAGAGATGTACAAGATCAATAGGCCATCATAATGTTGTATTCTGCCTTCAAAGTCCTCCTCTCCAATCGGCGCGCAGTTCTGGACTTGTCGGGCTGGGTAGTACGCCTCCTAGCTCGTCAAGTAATCTTTCAGTCTTCTGACTAATAGGATGTTCTCGCGTGAGCCGTACTTGAGCCCATTCTAGGGCAATATTGCAAGTCTCAATCGCTTTAGCGGTATTGTTTTCAAAGCGGTATAAGTAAGATAATTTCCACAGCGCATAGACACAGTCAAGATGCGCATACCCACGGCTAGTTTATCGTCCTCCAGATGTGGCTTGCCTCTAAATCTTGACTTAGTCGAACAGGATAGGCGCATAAAGGGCATCAACAGCGAACACCTGCAAGGAGAAGATGATTAGGAGTTTTAAATGTATGTTAAAAAAGCGGTGTCCTATTATCAGCATTCCCACTATGTTACGTCTGCCTTAAAGATTTCTCAATCTTTACTGCTATAGTTTATATAAATAAATAAAACAAAAGCTCCTATAGACAATTCATGGAATGGCGTCTTTCTCCCAAGCAGCATTGGCTGTGTTTATATGGCCACTGCAGTCTCTGTGTCAACGTCCCCATCTGAAGCCACTCTCGACATTTTTTCCTGATTGGTAACTCGGGGCCGGCTCGCTGGCGAAAGCGCGGCACACTAGGGCTGTTACATCCTTTGCCTCAAATCCAGCAAGGCATACCCGAAGTCCCCTGAGTTTTTGCCTATGATAATCGATTTCTCTGTATTCGTGCTGCTCTGTTGAGTCTTCCGTGATAGGGTGTGGTCGGTGGTTTTGTGGTCCGCAAACCCACGAAACCCACGATGGTGGGTCTGTGGGTTTATTCTGGTGTATCAACGACTTCTCCGGTGCCTCCCCAGGGCCAATTTCATCCTCTGGTTCATCTAGTCACGCCGTGGCCGCATTCTTCTGTTGCCCACCCTCTTCGGGGATCAACATGAGGGCATCTATAGCCTCCCTCTCAGCCAACTCAACTAGTCCCGTGTCGAGCTTCGGGATGAGGCCAGACCGATACCATGAGCGCAGGACCTGGCATATACCAACTATCATGGCATCTAGGGAAAGCCTCTGATTCGTCATCATCTTCCTCGCGGCCGAAAAGAGTCTCTCACACTCAGCGCTCATAGGCTGAACGGTGAGAAACTCTAGGGCTATTTCTGATAAACGAGGGTATTTGAAGCGAAGACTATGCCAGTACTGCAAGGGGCCATGGCAATATACCATCTGTTGTGACTCGTTAGCACACCAAGCAGCGTATTCGTCCCTCCCCCCCGTGATACGTACAGCCTGCGCTTGATTTTGGATTTCGATAGCACGCTTTTTGAAGACATCCTGCTCGAAGGGATCGTAGTAGGTACGCTTATCTCCTACAGCTGGCGTAGATAAAGAATTTGGTGAGAGAGGCATACGCTTCTTGTTTTTATTTACTCGGGGATGCTAGAGAGCTAACCATCTCCACCCCCTTTCTGAATGCACCCCCTTCCCGAACGCCAATTCCGACACTAATTCCACGAACGTAACAATCACGCTCAATCATTTTACACCAAAACAATAGTAAATCAATTGAATCTAGTTAGCCATCTAATGTATTTCGTGTCCTTTTTCGTGTTTTTGGAGTCATTTCAAGAAATGAATCAATTGGGACTTGCTCTGCGATCGGCATTTCACGTATCCTCTTCTTCAGCTTCTCTTGCGCTGGTCTGATGTCAGCGATCGAAGCAAAGACCTTATTCGGGTCTTTTTCTATTGCTTGACGTTTATCAGGCTTATGGCTATCTAGTTCAGTACCTAATCTGAAGTTATCGCGACGCATGGTTGCTAGTTCAACGGTCATCAAGTCGATGGTTTTGGTGGCTTTCTTGAGTACCGATGATATATCCCGAGGTATCGACGGGTATTTCCGATGAAGCTCCCGTATTTGGTCCCTTAATTGCTTCGAATTCTGTGGTGTCCCGAAGCTGGTTTCTACGGCTGTTGACTTCGATGATGGTGTTTTCGGCGATGGTATAAGTATCGGAGGGAAGAGGTCCGGGTTATCTAGTACTATCGAGAAATTCAACGGCCAAATACCACTCTTTTCCCATCCATGTTGAATGATCTTTTCCGTGAAGGATAGCTCTGCAGCTTTGTGATATGCTTCAAGCATTCTTTGCTTTTGAATAGGACCGGATGCCTTCATGCCTTGGTACTTCTGAAGCTCTGTATGGAAGTGCGATTTCAACGATGAAAAGCACGTTACATCTAGCGGTTGAGTTGCTTCGCTAGTATGCGCTGGTAAATATACGAGGGCTATCCTCATCCTGAACGCTGATAGCATGAACCGTGGTGATATATGGCTTCGATGACCATCTATAATGAGCATCCGCCACGGCTTCGGACGATAAGTCCACTCCTTTGGTCTTGTTTCGGGTCCAAAGATCGTTTCCAGCCATTGAATAGCTATTGAACTACTAGTACAACCTTTGGAAGATGCTGTGTACTCTGATTCCTCAAGATGATGGGGAAACCACTGTGCTTGAACCTCCGTGCCTTTGAATATAAAGCCCATCGTGCCATGACGACCCAAAGCGCTGATATAGTGTAGAATGGTGACCCAGCCAGTAGCTGTAGACTTCTGAATACGTGCCCGACGTGAAGCCGAAGATCCTATGACCACTTGGTTACAGGATTCTCCTTCTTGAACTCCAGTCTCATCCATATTATATATATCTTCAGGCTGAATATTATACCCAGTTCTGACACGTGCTACAAGATAGTAAAACTGCTCGATTGAGTTCTGATTCACGCCTCTCATTCGATCGGCATCAATAACTCGTCCGATTTTAGTTTTAAGCCGTAGATGGCGTTTCAAGAACTTATTCACCCAGTTCTGACCGAGTAAAGCCTGGCCTTCGATAGCTCCGAGACCTGACGCGATATCTTGCGCGAATTCTCGAACCATAACCTTCGTCGGAGCTCTTCCACACAGTTCCTCGTGTAAGATCCAGTCCTGAAACTCACTCTCTTGTAGATTTGAGAGCTTTTGGTCACTTTCGTGGCCATGGGAGTGAGGTTGTGCACCATGGAGCCGTCCAGACAGCGTCGAAGGTGCTATCCCGAAACCACGTGCTGCGCGGTTCTGAAATTCACCGTTTTGAACAAAATCAATTGCCTATTGAATGTCGCGTTCACTTCCTCTAGGCATGGTGAAGAAATCTAACGATTCTGATAAAGAATGGTGTTGTGGTTGAAAATTCTGCAAGTAGACCTGTATCGGAGTTCTTTAATTTCGGCGTTCGGGAAGGGGGTGCATTCAGAAAGGGGGTGGAGATGGTTAGAGGCGAAAGGGTTCCAGAAGCAGCGCCTTGTTGTGCTGCAGGCTAAGCTGCTCCAATGAAAGAAAGGTTCTAGGCGGGGAGATCCACGTCGCAAGTATATTTCAAGAAGTCTTCATCCTCCTTCGCCTTGTCTTTCTCTTTTCCCTAGGATCAATTTGGGCTCCTGTTCGGACAAGGGTTCGGTTTGGTCCCGCTTCCAATTGTGGACTAACAGTGGCTCTTTCAGTTCCCACGCTAGCATTGGCTTTGAAGGCCAATTACAGTGCAAAGGACTTCTGGGCACTATCATCAACTCAAGCCTGGTTGTTCATCGTCACACCAATGGCTGGGGACGTCGGGTATAAATTGACAATTAGTTCCGTCTTGTCCTTGGCCAGCTCGAGCGAGACTGCTCCGAATAAGCCATTGCCGACAAACTTGGACTCTTCCGCAAGACTGCTGTCAACAGTATGAAGACTGTAGAGACGAGCGTTATTCGAGTTTTTGTAGACAACACAAAGCCGGCTGAGTGTATAGAAGTTGAGCTCAGGCTTTCCTAAAGGTTTTCTGTTTGGTTCGATCGCCCTGACAATACGGTTCATTACCATTTATTGGTTATACTACTCTGCGTATCAGATTCTACCCAATTTTCTAACAAAGCTTACTAGACACGTCGAACGGCGACCGAAAACTGGTAATTCACAATCTCATATGATCCATTCCGGTCACTAGATTTTGGAAGAATCCTCACAAAAACAGGATGATCCTGTTATATTTCATAATAGTGAATCAAATTGCCTCGATGTTGAATCTAGCTACAAATACTCAGTATGTTCAAAGACATCCTGACTCACTTTACCGTTTTCTTCCCTTCCTCTTCACCGCGAATTCCCAAGAAGAATGGGTAAGTCGCCTTAGTGACGAGACGCAGAATTATTTCAAACAACACAGCCGTAATAGAGGAGGTTGGTATACCACACGCAACAGGAATCACAGCAGTAGTACCCAGCGCAGGGACTATCACAATAGTGGCACTCTATAGGGGTCAGCTTAGAACTCTGCGATAGAGGTGTGAAATTAATTTCAGTTACGATGTACCAGCTGTAAGCACAGTATCATTGTCTCCAGCCTTAGCGGGAATGATAGACTTAGTATCCAATATTGATCGTGTGCCTATTTGAGTATTTAAAGGAGGTAGAGTTATTACGGATTAGCTAAGTAACGTGCCGGTTAAATCATTAGAATCCGTAGCAGGCGCGGCTTAAACTCAGAGGAAGTGGCCTGCGAGGATGAGAGGAGCGAGGAAGAAGCGCATGGTATAAAGGCTTAATATAGTCTTCTGAGAGGGAGTTGTGTTATTGAAGCTGAGGGAAGGAGTGGTCGAAGGGGAACGCAGATGGGATTCAAAAGCCGAGAGGTAGTTATAGACTTTAAGGTAAACGGAAACAAGGGCTTTCAGGCTAATAGTCCAAGCATCCTCCATCTCGATACAAAAGAAATTAACGTCCAGTCACTTTTCTCCGGCCGCTACAACCAGGATCTGTTCGAATAAGAGTCTTAAAGGGATGAAATGCACCAAAGACAGGCGGGTGCAGCAGCACTAGTGTATGTCACATGCAGATCAAACATTAAACCCCAAGATCAATCCTTATCGAAAGACAATTAGATACGTCAAGTCAACCGCTTAGCCATTTATCAGTGCCATTACATATACACGATCCAATACATAATTGATAAGGCCAGCTGACGTTTCCAAACTGAAGGCATCTACGTAATATCACATGTGATGCTAGGAGATCTATAAGTAGGAGGTCGAAATTCATCCTGCTTATCCTTTTAATTAGGTAATCACCCTCACTCTAGGCGATTCTAATAAGCTTTGCTATACATACTATGTAAATTCAATTTGAGTTAGACGCCGAAATAGGAGCTTATAAACTAGTGACTACCACTAGGAAGAGAGAAAGAAAAGTATAATAGAATAATTCTCATACTTCCCACTGGCTAAGAATCAAGCTCGCTTAACGTACTCTAATGTTTCTTCTACAATAGAAATTTCGCATACTAGTGAGAACAATAAGAGTAGTAATAGACAACAAATATTCCCATAAAATAAAGAATACGCCCTAATTAATACCTAGACATTATTATATACTTATAATTACGTCGCTACAGGATACTACAGGCTAAAGATAGGTCGAATAGTGTTTACATGTAATAAGTTGTCATGGCTTAAGGTTCAAGGCCGTGCCTACCAGCCAAGACACGATAAACCCCTGGTCAGCTCGTTCCAGAATTCATCTTCTCAATGTCCAAGTCTCTCTAAAGCGTCTATATATCTACCTACCGCCGCATGTTCTTGGCAAATCGGCATGATCTCTTCACTGATTAGGTTATAGGTCAACAAGTGCGGGCTTACTCCTTTATCTTAGGTTCAGGCCTGGATTATAGAGCTCATGCTTACAATAGTACTTTAGCCAACGGCTTCAGTACCAAAAAGGTTCACGCTTGCTAGTCACACTGGGTCTTTTCAGCCTTACGGCGGATGAATCATCCAGTGCGCTAAAGGACCGACAGTAGTGTCCCTTGTTGGATTGAAGCCAACTGAGTATTGGCTATGCGATGCATCGAAGTATATCCCAGCAAACTATAAACCACGAACGCGTCTCCAAGGATGCCAATATCACGAAGATGATGAGCTGGCTGTATTAATATCAAGCTTTTTCTGGCTTCGATGTTGTCTACCGAGATGTCCCACCCTACACGCCTCAGACTGTACAGCCTGGCCACCAAAGCTGGTGTGCTGGCTTAGTCACAAATTGCTCTTGCGATACAATCGGTTTTCACGACGAGGAGCCAGTGAACAAGCTGCTAAACTTGACAACATGATTGTATATGGGTCACATTAGAAGCATGTGGAAACGATTAGTAAAGGAAGCGGCGGGTAATACCGGATCTATACGTTACAGGCGAGATAAGGTTAAGGCTGGAAGCTGACCAGACATTCATGTTGCGCAATATTCTACGTATCCGCTCGTGCTTGGCAGTTGAGGTCCGCAGTTCAGGTTCACGGATAAGGAGTAATCGTTCCGCCAAAGTAAATGTTGATTATTATAGTAAGATTACAAAGCTGCTGGTAGGGCTGGCTCGGAATATGCTAACGATCTCGTCATTCTGACTCTGTCGTAGCGCTGATTTCATATAGCCTTGGCACTACCCCACCGAACTATTGCCTCATCGGAGGAAAGTTCACAGAGTGGAAAACTATTACAAGGTGCTAATTTGAGCTATGTTGACAATCCACGTGTATATGAAAAAAAATTTGTTACACATTTAGCAAGAGCCCCGAGCCATCGTAACATTGTTCAGGAATGGTGAACGGCAAATCTGTCATGCGATGGACTCCCCCGGTACTTGGTCTTGGCATACCACCGCTCCACTATGACAAGCCAAAGGAATGGAGGTATGCTTCGAGCTGGAACTAGTCCACCAACACGACCTCTAGGGCAGAATCTGATTCTGAATCACTATGACACCATTTGATTTCAGTTCCTTGGAAAGGTCATCCTAGAGCGGCATCTGGTCCCCAAGACTGCTCTCTTTCAAATCACTCACACATCCATTGTGGGTGCTTGTAATCGACGGTCCAGAATTGGGGAACATATCCGGAACGATACCATATGTCGCGGGGACTGGATTTGTGTCGTATAAACAATTTCACCAATCAGATATTTCTCCTCTTGTATGCAGGCTTCGCAATCAATCGAATGAATATAGTGATCAACTTAATCCGCCTTTTCTCGAATAAATCAATTAACCTCTTTTGATGTTTTGTTTAAATCAATCCATCTGCAATTTACATTGATTGAATTGATTGAAATAGGTGTTATTGCTAATATGGGGTGGATATTGGTGTTGTTGTTACCGAGAGTATAAGACGCGAGAACTGCGTAAAAGTGTGACCGAGCTTGGAAGGAGAGAACGCGATCACAATGCCGCCACCAAATGCCGTGCGAAGGGCAACGCAACTGAGGAAGTTATGAAGAATAAGCAACGAATGGAGCCGCGAAAGAAACCAAGTATTGTAAGACTTTTTCGACGAGTTAAAAGTCGAGGTTCTTATGCTAAAGCATGAACATTCTGTTATCAACATGTAATCACCCTATGATTGACAATCATATAGGCCAGATTGGCGAAGGAATGACGCACTCGTTAACATCTTTAAAAGCTGCCCCAAGGTAGGACAACAATAACAATAACTTGAAGAAGATGGTGGGAAAGGCTGTGGCATTTTTGCTAGAGTATCTATAAGTTCCTTTGGGGCAAGTGGTAATGAGTTAATATTATAGAAATGAGTTTTAACCTATAACGATATAATATCATAGCTTTCGTTAATCACGAAATATTCATCCAGTTAATGATCGTTTTTACTCTAAGCTTCCCGCTTATTTATATAATATAGTAAATTATGGTATCTACTATTTTTACTATGTAACTTTTATCTTGTTATATCATTAATTTGTACTAACGGCGGCGATTAATATACTTGGCAACCGTTTAGCGGCACTTCCCCTTCCTCGCTTTAATCACTTCTTTGAGATGTTCTTTCTTAGAGGCTTGTTTCTTTACTTGTCTTATTGCCAATAGGACGTGCGAGCCCAAGTGTCCTAGACTCTTAACAGCCGCTAAGCTGGCCTTGTTCATTCCGAAGACGCGATGCGGGGATAATGCGCGCGGTCTCCATGATCTGGCAATCGTCACCAAACCTCTTTTTCTTTTACAAATCTTGTGAGGGACATCTTCCGACGAGGACATGGCTTGTTGGAGCGAATACGTTCTATTTTTGCCTCGAGAGCGCGCTCGTAGATGTTGAAATCAATGGCATTGGGAGAGTCGGAGACGAGATCAGCCGGTGTCTCCGAAGCTTCAAATTCATCGTGATCGCCCAAGCCGATTACCAAGAACTGTACATTTGCCTCGGTGGAATGTTGTGCGTGGCCTTTCTCACTTGCCAAGAAACGCCGGGCAAGATGATCTGATAAGTCGCGATAGACATTCGCCGCTTCCAAGAGTTCAGTCGTTTTGTCGTTTATCGATTTGCGTCTTGGCCGATCCCCAGCTTGAGGCTTCTTTGTATTTGTTGTGGTTTCTTAGGATGTGCCAAGGACATAATCCGGTATTTCTAACGTTTTTAGTGTCTGCGGCGACTTCAGGTCTGGCCTGCCAACCCTGCTCTTTTCGATTCCACTGAATTTGTTAATTGCTATCATCTTTATCATGTGTTAGACGTCCTGTAGTTCAAAAGCATTATAGTTGCACACATAACTGTTAACATGTGACTCATTTCCGTCGTTGAGGCATGGTTAACTTCGAGTTCGTTAGGTGGTTCTATAAGTTCGGTGGCGTTCTCTTCCTCGGAGAGTAGAGGGTCGCCCCCTTCCTTGGTAACCCACGGATGATTCCACCCTCGTCAGCTCGGCCAATAAGCCATAGATGCAAAAGTGTTACCCTGAAATCCCGCATGCTAATTCGTTAATTTAGATCCTTTTGCAAGATACACTTTATACAGTCGGCTAGAACAGGGTCCTCGTCGGATGAAATCGGAAACTCTTTAGTGCGAATAAACTTATAAATCTCCAGCACATTATTAGGTCGATGAAAGAGGAGTCTGCCATATCTCAGACAATAGAGGGACATATCTATGGACTATATATTAGCAGCCTTGCCTGATATATCACCGTGCTTGGCCATACACAATTCAAGTGGCAAGAAGGCTGGCGAGCCGGCAGACTTGGCCGTCCTCACGTCGTCTGATTTCTCAAACATTTCCGAAACTCTAAAGTCTATAATTTTGAAGCAGTCATCCGAGTTAATAGTAGGTTATCCGGCTTGATGTCGCGATGTACATTTCCATGCGCATGTACTGCCAACAGTGTAAGTGTCTCTTAATTTAGCGCATGTTATAAGAAATTGACGACTGACGGTACTCGATTCCTAGGACGAGGTCACGAAATCAATGCCAACATTGTTCCACAGAATATGGATGGGAATCCTTATCAAGCCCGACTTTTATGATTACCCCCTTTTTACATATCTTAAGCACTATCCACAAGGAATCCTCTTTAGCGTCGTCTAAGACTTCGATTAGGGACACTAGACTCGGGTGGTTCAGCTTTTTCATGATGGCGATCTCTTCGCGTATGAGGAACAACGAGTCCTTTTCTTCGGCAACATCATGACTATTCATGTCCCTCCTATGAGTTGACCATGGTGCCTGTATGCCATAGCCTGGTCTTAATCCGCCTGGCCGATTTACGATGTTTGATTGCGCTCGTTTTCGTAACCGTTATTTGGAGAACTCTCTCATGGCCTGACACCCGTAGTCAGTATGTTTGAATGAGTGTTGTATCAATGGCTCGTACGTATTCGTTGCCATATTAGTCTGTCGCAAGATGCACGGCACCATACGACCCCTGGCCGATCTCTTTTTTGATGATGCATTGATTTATCATGAGTTTCGTGCCTTCAGTATCGTCACTGGTATACTCGGATCTGGCATCGAGGGTTTCCTATAGGAGCCCTTAGCCATCTAGCATCTTGGCACTGTTTGTCTGCACTGGGTACTGGACGGCTCAGAATAGCAGTAACCCACCTTGACCTTACGATGGTGACTCCGCATCCTTTTGTGGTGTCGTAGGAGACTAGAACTGTTGGACGGCGGGTGCTAACCTGATCTTTTCAGTAAAAGACTCGCCGGCAGTGTAAATCTTATATAGAGCCTCCATGCCATTGCTTCTTCTGTGCTCTGGTTCCTCTGCGAAGTTTCTATGTCGAGGTTGTGATAGTACAGCCAACACTCACTACTTCAGTATACTAAAGTAGCTAGTATTAGCTGTACTAATATAACAAGAGGGCTACGTGGGTCGTACGGCCTTCGTTAGTATTGTTCTCGGCCTGATATGTATAAGGTCTAAAGGATAGGACTTATAGATAGCTTCCTAGAGCATGCTTTTTACACTTTTACACAGTTAGTCGTTGGTTTTAACAGCAGCGCATTCGGAGGATAACGAGAATGGCTCGTTATCACTAATTAATACTATTTTAGTCACCGAACTCATGCCTTCCATTCATTACCTAGTGATCAGTCCACGAGTAACCCAGCGAGTTCGTCGCGAGGCTTATATCCAAGGGACAAGACAGTGGTCCTGCTTCAATACTCGAGAATTTATAATCCTACTATAACAACCCTAATCGACATGTGTTACTTATCCTAGATCGCAACATCTAATATATCACAAAATATACTGAAATATACCTTGGTGAATCGTGGCCTCGACACGAAAGCTCTATAACTGCTCCTGCTTTGGCCATAGCCGGAGAACAGGATAGTAAACTCCGAAACAATACCCTGTCCAATGACCACTGCTAGGCACTTTGTTCGTTTCTCGAAAGATTATCATCTCATCTCGCTCTGCCAGGCTTTTATTTCTCTGGCTAGTCATTATTATTAGGTCTACTCTAGGCCGAATATTCGCGCCCTCATGAGAATCACACACGTATACGTATATATGACCATTAAGTTTGCTAGGAGAAAGGGATATAATTGGTCTTATAGGCCTATCGAGTAGAATTTGTTCCTTTAATAAGTGTGAACACTCTCTAAAGACATTTGACCTATCTAGCTACCTTAAAGGCATACAAAGCGGAATGTGAGTGCTTAAAAGCCCTATACTATGTAGCTCATTCTTCTTCATCCTCTAAGCTAACATGATGAGCCGAAAAGCTGCTCCCTTAAGTCCCCGGTATCCTTAACCGGACATGTTCGAATGAGTATATGGGTTGGATCGTCACCTCGGTTATCAACTTCAAAATCTGATAGGCTCACAGCCTCACGCCGCGAGGAGAACGAAAGATCTTCAAGGCTGAGAATATTTTTCTCATTACGTGGATTTAGGGACGGGGTTCGCGGTTGACGAAAGTCCTTTTGAGAGTTTCTGTCCAGATCTAGGCGGTCGCCTTTGGCACGCTTCTTGGCCAAGGGTGAGACCGGCGAGCTGGTGAAAGGCTGTGGCGATCTAAGGGGATTTGTGGCAAAATGAGAGGTACGTGCCGGTGTAGCCTATTCTGCTCGATAAAGGTGTAATGGGTGACCAGGGGGGTTTCGACATCGCCATCATAGAAGTTCAACTAATAATGACTGTGCGGACAATTGGAGATGAGTATTTTATTTCCAGGGTCTGCTGTTCACACCGAGGTCTAAGGTTATATATCGTTAGAATAAACAATAATTTCTTTAATTTGTATAAGAAGACAGAGATTTAGTAACTTCCACATCTGTCGTCAAAGCAAGTTTATAGTATCGGCTTGTCATTGTCTCGTCTACAACTAGCTTCGCGAATGAACATGGCCCTAAAAGCCTGAACAGTCGTGAGAGTACAATGATTAGTTTTAAGGTCTAGCAATCGTACCGCCTCTTCGAAGAAGCAATCGCCTGATATCACGAGGTCACCGTTCTCGCAACCCCCAGTTTGCCTTAGAACCAGCTGCGATAGCAAGTAGAGCATTTACAAGAATTAGAGAACAGTATCTATGCCGGTAATGTAGAAAATCTTGCAGGAAATGCTCCGTGCTAAGATAAGCGAATGTAAGAAACTCCTAGCAAAAATAAAGGTCGAGCAAGTGGCATACTAGTGCATTGTCCGGTGTCACGCTCGTTTAGCTGGCCGATGGTATTACCACAGGCGCTTCTGATAGATGCATTGTCTAATCTACCTTAGGCCTTGGCTTGCGCATAGTGTGATACTTGTTTCCTTGTGGAAGATGCAAAGGCTTAGTACGAACGCACAATTAAACGAAGACTACATATAAGTCATATGTGATTAAGTGAGCCTTTTAAGCTATTACCATCGAAATGCGTTAGTTGAAGGCTATAGCAACTAGCCACCCTGACGTTAGCCACAAGTATGCCACACCCTTTCCTAAGCGTATAATAACAGTTCCCGGAATAGTCGAGGGCGCTTCGCTTAGTCTAGTATACTAAAGTTATGACTATAAAATGTCGTGATAGTGCGCTTTCTCGATAATACGTTAGCTTGATCCCATATCTCTTTCTATTTAACCTTTCGTGTCGATTAGCAGTCTTGTAAGTGCCGCTTAAAGAAACGTTCTTGCTTTCTTATCACATAGGGTAGCTGTATCACCTGGTGGTCGCCGCCTGGGATAAACACCAAATCAAAATCCTTGTCCGCTTTAATCAGCGCATTCACCACCTGCATCGTCGACGCAGGATTGACATTCGTATCCAACTCTCCGACCACTAGCATCAATGCCCCGCTAAGCTTATACGCATGAGTCACATTGGATGATTCCCGATAGCTGTCATCGACGGGATAGCCCATCCACAACTCATTCCACCATAGCTTGTCCATGCGATTGTCATGACAACCCGCCGATGCGGCTGCCGCTTTGTAAAAGTCACCGTGATGCATCACGGCCGCCGCGGCATTTTGACCTCCGGCTGAGTGTCCGTAGCACCCGACTCGAGACAAATCCATCCAAGGGCGTGTCGCAGCGGCGGCACGAATCCATGCGATGCGATCGAGGAAACCAGCATCCTTGAGATTCTTGTAGCAGACGTCATGAAAAGCTTTCGACCGCCAGTTAGTACCCATGGCATCGAGAAGTACCACAATATATCCCTGGTTCGCACGTTCGCGGAGGTTGGGGATACTTTGAAACGTCTTCGGAGTATAGTAGTTTTGGGGCCCGGCGTAGATCAGTTCGAGGATCGGATATTTCTTAGAGTCCTTAAAATCTATAGGACGAACGATGATACCATGTATACCTGTCTTTCCGTCACGTCCAGGGGCCACAAATCTTTCTGGAGACGACCACCCAGCTTCAACAAGTATATCCAGCCTCCTCTGTTCCAAATCCACAATGTGTTTTCCAGTTTGTGCATCGCGAACTACAGTGCGCGGTGGACAGTCGACCCGCGACCAGCTATCGATTAAATAGTGCTTATCTGGCGCCCATTTCCACGTGTGCGAGCCATTACCTTCTGTCACGATACGTAAATCTGACCCATCAAAATTGACGCGCGCCAAGTGGGCGTAGTATGGGTCTTCGCCTGGCACCATTCCGAAGCCTGTGAACCAGATTAAGCGTTTGTGCTCATCGACCGAATCGACAGAACGCATGACCCAGTCTCCCTTTGTGACCTGGTTCTTCAGTTTTCCATCCTTGAGATCAAATAGATAGAGATGATTCCACCCATCTCGCTCGCTAGCCCACAAAAGCTCATCATTTGGCTCCAAAGTTTTGTAGTATAACTTCTGAGCATAGTCCACGAAAGTGCTGCTCTTCTCCTCCACCACGATATGCACGGTTCCACTTAGAGTGATTTCCAACAGTCGAAGATGTCGATGGCCCCGTTCATTGAAGATGAACCGGTAATTCTTGCCATTCTTTGACCAACCAATATTGGTAAGGGCATAGGGATTCCTGAATAGAGTGTCCTCAACGGAAATTTCATGCCGAGCCACCAGGTCAAAGAGGCGGGGTCTCTGCACCTCCACGTTATCACCTGGCCTGAGGTATTGGATAGTGTTTAGTTTTGGCTGAAGCTGGTCTTCGGGTGACGACTCCACCATGTGAATGGCATGCCTAGATGCTGGCTTACACTGCCAGACCACTACATGCCGCCCGTCCGCGGATGGGTAGATGCAGTCATCCTGGAACTTGTTGTCTTCGAAACCATCGAAGGATATCTGACTTTCTATCTCTTCCGTATCCTTGACCCAGATGTTAAAGTCTCGCACAAAAGCCTGTGGTGCTGACTTCGGGTCCACTGGACCTTCACCAGAGTCGAAGTCCTCGGTTGATTTGTCTGTCTCCCATCTGAGAGCGAGACTCTTAGGCAGTTCCTCAATGACAGCAGAAGACGGACTGCTCTTCACAGCAAAGGCGACTCTCTTCTCCGGATTCTCAATGGCCACCCGCCAGATATGATCGACATAAGATTGCTGTGTTTTGACTTGACCTACTGATAGTGTTCCATAATAAGTAGGCTCTCCGGAATTATTGATCCACGAGTAAGTGATTGGCTTCGTCGTGTGATTCTTAAAAGTGATGGAGCTCGGGTGGCGTGACTCTGGCGAAGGAACTTCCTTACAGCCATTCTCAAAGTCGCCTTTGACAAATTCTCCATGCCAAGGTTCAAGCTTGCCATCCTGGCTGTATTGCCAAGTCTGCTCACCGAGCTGGAAACGCATCCACGTACCATCGCGGGCTATGTTGATCCACCAGAACGGTAAGTCATGAGTGCTTACGTTCTGCTCTGTACACCTACTCAATTCTTCCGCGAGCCCATTGTGGTCAAATGCTGTTTGACAAGTTCCTTTAACGCAGTCTACTAGTATGAACTGCGATTTCTCCGATTCGGTTACTCGCATATACCAAAAGGCATCGCCGCCAGGCAGCCATTGTGGAGTGACTGTAGCTTGTCGAATACACGACTCTTCCAAATCCTGTAATTTTCGGTCCATGGTTTGTATACCTGCTCGCAATGATAACTAGTATATTACCGAAGCGGCAAAGGAAAAGTATATTACATGATAGGAAAAGCTCGAGATAGGTATTGTTGGGAAAGAGGGGTATGCTTACAAATGATGTCATAGAGCTTACGTGTAGTTTTACTAAGACCATTTACTAAGGACGATTTAACTAATATAGACAACTAATTAGCCTTTTACGCGCAGTCCCTTTGCGTCCTCCATCATCTCGCCCGGTATCAATTATATCAAAGCAGATCTCGGTAGCATAGACAATTATACATGAGCTTTTATCGTCTCTGGGTTCCTCATTAGCTATTACTGTGGCTCTCTAATAATTGCCCCGCTATCCGAAACGTATGGTCGTTCCATTCTCTACAAGGTTTGCAGCATAATACTTGTCATTTTCAACCTTGTATGCGTGCTAGCTTCCAATTCTGGCAGTCTCATCATTTTCCGTATATTCGCTGGCATTGGGGCTCTTGCCCCTTGCCGCTTGGAGCTGCATCCTTTGTAGATTTCGTACTCCTGATAGGAGAGGAGCTTCTGACCATCTGGACGCTACGGCCTATGGTGGGACTAACGGTCGGACCAACAGTATTTCACCGTGTGTTTTTTATGATGCGGACGAGGCTAACATAACAGTAGTCGATGGTTGTCTCACTCAAGCGACTGATTGGCGGTGGGATTTCTGGGTTCTTGCTATCGCTGTAATGTTTACTTCTCGTTCCCTTTCGGTCCATTTTTTCATCTCACTCTCTCCGCCCCCTCTGCTACCAAATTGTGGTCGAATACTTGGTGATTACTTGGTAGAGCGGTGTTGCTATAGTCGTGACCTTTCTTGCCCTGCCTGAGTCTTATGCTCACACCATTCTGGAGCGTAAAGCTAGCGTTTACGACATATAGCCGGACACCCGAATCTTCGATCAGCGTCAACGGCAAAGAGAAATACCAAGGACTTATCTATTTTATTCAAACCTCCGACCTGTCAAACTCATGCTTTTTCCTCCGATTGTCTTTCTCGCCAGCATGCTGACGTGAGAACTCACAGAGCAGTATGTAAAGCACAAGCTTGATAAAGCCATCGTAGGTGGGAGCGTACAATAAGCACGGGCTCTAATATCTAGCGTTGGATGTTAAACGCAAGGAACTTTATGGCTGGGTCTTTAAGCTGAGGAGTTCTTGTCCCATTATTTTCTTTTGACCAGTGGATGGAAGCTTATGCTTCGTTTATACTGCCGAAGGTACAGTATACATGTGTATGTTGGTCTGGCCGACTTTCACTAGTTTGTTAACGATTTTGTGGGTAGTATGTGACGATCGTGGTACTTTGAATCAGCTACAAAGCTCTCGGGCAACTTGCAGTGCTGCTGATAGTGTATCCTACTGGTGACATTATCACTGTCTGCAGGGACTTTTTATTCGAGCATTTCGAGTCTAGAGCAGGGGCATGCTGCGTTTCCCAAAGCCTGCACTTATTATTAAAGTATAAATATTCACTTCTGAACCTTAGAGTATTATTTGAAGAAGTGTCCAAGTATTTACAATGCAACACATCGCTTGAGTCCCTCCCGTTGGCAATACATGTTTCCGAGCTAAGCTTGGAGTGGGAGAATTTTGCAACTTCCTCAAGCCTACGATACAAGTTGGAGAAATTCAATCGCATGGCAGTTAGTGTGTTGTGACTTACTTTCAAAGATCGTTATATGCGGCGAGAGATGCTAACGCCCTAATCGTGCTCACACCAACTCAAGTGGATGCGTGGCACGGATACGGAATCGAAAGTAAGTAGATTAGCTCGGAATACTCGGGAAGCCGACTTGTCCGATATCATGCTGAGAAGCGCAGTTTTCAGTATTTCCCAGTGTCCACGACTCATTACACTTTGTCACGATTGCGGGGAATAACAATTGAATTTTATGGTTGCTAAGCTATTGTCATGGGAGGAGGATTCCTGGTAGGCCTCACATCAATAGCTACAAACGCCTGAATGCTTATTATGAACCGGTGTACTTCAACCATTCTAGATTCGTTGCTTCGTGCTTATTTACAAGAGTACTGTAATATCTTGCCATTTGGCCTCTTATGCAGAAGCTAAGTATCATTTTTCTGGATCCGCACTATATAGATGAGAGTGGGCTTCATGATGGAATGGTTGAACTCTAGACTACGCTTGGTAACATTTCACAAGAAGAGGGTTGGTTCCGATGCCATGTTTCATGCCAAACGCCCAATTTTCAGGGGTGAGCGGTTGAATGTCGATAGTTGAAGACTGCTAGCGGCTGTAAGAGTGCTTAGCGTTGAAGTAGTAGTCTGCGTGGGGTCGCTAGTGCCCACTAATGGAATCCCAGAATTTGTGAAAAGAATGTTTTTATCCTGAATCAGAATGTTTTGCGGGCTTAATATCGTGTGATATCGGATGTTTCGATGATGTAAATAAGAAAGAGTAGACAACAAGCAAAGGAATGTGCTTCACCCGAAAAGGCCTCAACTACCCGCATATTTGATGACATCAGACAAAATACGCTTCTGCTGGAATAATTTCTCAGCACAGAGAAATATCTTCCTCTTCTAGCCCCCATTCTGTCCATTCCTGGCAATCCTCATCCCTCCCTAATGCTCCTGGACGTCCGTTGTGATCAAGCTTTTCACTGAGAAGCAGTACTGAACCCACCAGTTTATAGCAGCCGGCTCGGTTCAGTCTACGCAATATGAAAGGTGATCTTGTCCCAAATATTATACAACAAACATCATCTACCTCTACAATGTCAGGTGCTAGACCGTAATATCCACGGGCCGTTACAACAAAACTTTTGTTGTGTACATCCTCCATCCTCTTTTCATGGAAAAGCTTAGCATCTTCATACAAGGCGTCTCCTTGAAGTAACTCTTGCTGCAAGAAACGTATGTACGCCGACTCAAGAGTCCTCCACTCCTTCAATCGCCCCCGATAAATTCCACAACGGAATATATCAACAAAAACCAGCAGAGGAGTACATGGGTAGGGTGGTATGATTGAGCTTGTCGATATAGACTTCCAGAGCAACGTAATGTCTTTAGGTGTCGTAGAATTCTTGTCATAACCCATTGCAGCCAGTTTGACGGTGTCTATAATCACCGCTCGAACTTGTAGGGTATTCTGGTCCAGCAGAGTGGGATTATGGTAAGGCAATTGTTGTGAAGTGATGCGCTTCGAAGATCTGTGGTAGTTGTCAAGATGACCGGTATAACTCGCGTAGCGACGAACGTGCCACCGCGGTACCCATGAAACAAATTCCGATTCCATAAAATTGGCGTCATTCTGAACAAAATGCAAAATATCCAGATCTTTGCTAACCTTGAGATACTCGCAAGCGAAACTTTGATACACATGAGAATATGTAAGCTCATAATTCGGCTGCAATATAGGACGAAGCTTGTCAGACTTAGGAAGGCCAAGGAAAGCGTATATTCTATCTCTGTGATCGGTAACATCAAGCCACCTGGCATGATTTAAGATCTCGAGAAAGGAATAGGGTCCAACATCACTGTCGCCCCTGAAAGTGATAGCTTCGTCGTATCGGTGAAGATAGAATCCTTGAAGATGCAGGTCTGACAACCACAACTGTTGAATGTTCGGAAGTTCTAGTGCTCTACGAACATACCAGGTATAAGTACGGAGAAGCTCCAGCCACTTGATACTCGCGTCTGCCCATAGAAGAAGTGTGTCTTCATTAAGTGCTGCTTCCTGGACCACCCAGCCCCGTTTGAACCAAGGCTGTTGTAACAGGACACCAAAGGATTTCCATCCACGATGGAAGAGAAGGAGATCCTCCTCATCGGGAAACGGAAAACTATTGGCACCCCAGCAGAAGTTCGCTTTCTTGAAAACGCTCTCAATCATGTAGCCAATGTCAATGACCAGATTTGCAACGATAGAAGCATGAACATGATCAGACGATCGTAGGCAGATGAGTGTACGAGTCGACTTCTTATATATACCCCCCATCAAGGATACCTGATGACTTTGTTCTTGCGGATCTGCTTGATTGATGCAAATCGAATCAACCCAGAGGGTTCGCGGTTTATTCTTCAACCGGACCTGGCTGAGAGCATCGCGCAAATTAAATGTAATGGGAATGGTCTTGCCATCGCAACTAATCGTGTGGATTTTAAATGCTATACCCCATACGTAAGAGATTGCTTCAAAGTCAGGAATTTCATCCAGATGGGCGGTAAACATAGTACAAATGAGGGGATCAGTGTCCGTATTCGCTGGATGAAGGTATAGGTATCGAGCAAATAGCCCGTCGGGTAGTGGTTCGTACTCATAGCAATGCTTCGTCGGGGTAGTCTTTGCCTCCATCGACAGCATGGACAGTACGGACACGAACTGGGTGTGGAGTAGTTAGTAGTGGGGATAAATGACAAAACAGAGAAGGGGCTAGACTAGATGAAACCAGATATCTGCTTGAGGAAATCCAGAGAAAGTGGGATAAAAGCGGGGTAGGATTGTACAAAGTCCGAATCTATGCGAAACGTGCTATTCAAGGAGACTTGCGGCAATAGGGAGAGTAACGACAAGCTGACAATTCGGACCAAGATTGAGTAAAAAATACACTGAGTGGCCGTAAATATGACGAAGAGGAGGATGACAACGAAAAATGCGAAGAGGCAGAAGAAGACCGGCGATATTGTGATCAAACATATTGTTCTAGTTTCGTCAATGCTGAGGCCCAACTGCATGAGCCGGCAGGCACTGGAGCAGAAGGCCGATGTCAATGGTCTTCTTACCCTAGCATGGGCTGCTAGGATAAATAAAATAAAATAACGCTACGTAGATATTGTCGACCTGCTCACCATGAAGCGTGCGGACACCACGTTCTTAGATTTGAATGAGGCCACATATATTACTATCGGCGTTGATTGATGTGTACGTAACACGTCTGGACTTGTGTGCTCTCCGGCTTGCGATATTGGGGACCCAAGCGAGAGCCACCCGGTGCGCAGCCACGGTCCCCCCTCGACAGAGACAGAAGCCATTCAGGTTATTATAAATCACAATACAGCGGGAGTAGATCTCGGCTGTAATTGCAATTCTTTTCGCTTTGCAGTAATTTCCACTCTCTATTTAGAACTTAGGACTATCTTCTGATTGGATTACACACACGTAAAGTTAAGGCTTTCAAGGTTCACATCTGTCCAGTTACTGTCCAGAATTTCGGCGTTGCCTGCCTGTTCCACGTCCCTTATTGCTAGATGGAAGCTTTGAACTACACCCTATAGTAATTCCTCCACTCGTTATATGCCTTCTAATATACGCTCCTGTGGAATGGCTTCTCCATTCATTTCTTTCCGTACAGTGTGGGCGACAAATAGATCTATTCAGCGCTATCGTACGAAAGGAAGAAGGGATTCTTCCTATCGTACGCGATCTACAGATAGGGGTTTGGCCTATACGGCTACAAGCTTCCGACAGCCACGGTGTGGCTGTAGTGGCTTGCCGTCAGTACGCCGGTAACGAGCTAGACTATACGGTCGTGCGAGACCGCGGATAACCATATTCCAACACATACTATTTATTCCTTATCGATAGTATTCCACAGGAAAATATTGCCGCCAAAGAGCTCTTCCTCGTCTGAGCCATCGTATTAAAGCTTAGTCTTATATTGATTGATTTGGTCCTAACCTAGGCAGTGATCTTGACAACATCATTGGCATTCTAAGGTTGAATCTCGCCAACATCCTCAACAAGCCTGTCTCATATAATCAAGATCTTTAACACCTTCTTCGTCGCTGTCAAAATCGTTAGAATCAAGGACCGAGATCACTTCGGCGATATCCGCGTTGCTTAAAGACTCATTGGGGTCGGCCAGGGAATCTTTATACTCGGGCACCGACGGCAAGGCCCTCTCTGAGTCTGAGTTCATATCTGATTGCGAGCTCGTCGCTGACATTAAGCTCTAAAAGACAGACGATCCTAATAGCGATGGCTTTTCCTTTGCGCAACCATTTGAGCAAGAGACAAGACCCGGAAAAGCCAAAGCATATTGGCTCAAAAAGCGCACATGGAACTGAGAGCTAAGGCAATGGCTAAAGCCAGACAGATCCGTCGTCGGCATCAGCCGGGTTGCCTTGGAGCAGGGTAGAAGACTAGTGACCAAAAGCAAGCCAAAGTTCAGCTATCCTCAGGTCTAGGCGAATGAGTTCAAGAAGAGCAGACAGCATAGCGTTGGAACGGAACAGGACCGCTCGGCTCGAGGAGTCATCGGCTAGCAGGCCAACCATGTACTCATTATTAAGGGCAGTCAATATCTATCTGTTCCCGACGCCCATATGCAGTCGTCCACACCGAGTTTCAACCACTTTTATCCCTCCGTCCATAGTATAGCTCTATGCTTTTATGCACTCCTAAGTCCAGTCAAGGGGATTTAAGGTTGGACAGAACAAGGGATAAGCATCCGGACACGAGTAGAAGTTGATTACGGAGTCCAGGAACAGGGGTGGCCATGTTGACTGGCACCGGCGCGTGCTGAAAGTGCCTCGTGCTAGAAGCGCGATTCTGTCTCTAACCCAAGCTTTTAGAATGCTACTTGCCCAAAGTACCTTCAGAGTAGTGGCGTTTTACGACACATAACTGACACACCGACAACAGACAATGCTACATGCCATGCCAGGAAAGCCACACCCGTTGTTAGCTATATCGCGATGGAGTCGTTTATGCGTTCGGTGGTTCGAAGGATATAACGCGTCGCGTGTAGGACGTTGGGGGTAAGCCGACCTAGCCATCAGCGGCAGCAACCTAATGTATCTTCGCTTATTGTACTTCACTGACTGGCAGCGAAAGGCAGGCTCCTCTGAAGTAACCACACACAGCACCAAGTTCAGCGTCTCGGCCTGTCAAATCACAACCCGACCGATGCCCCTCCCAGATATCGAGAGGATCACTATTGCACCGTATGAGTGTATCACAGCTTATCACGTAGTCGAAATGTCTGCATAGGAGCACTAAGGACCTGGGATGGATAATAAATTGACCATCATCATCATCATCATACTACTATTATTACTAACCCTTCGTCCAGTTCCTTTATTTCACTCTTGGCCGATTGCAATTAACATCCCCCTCATTGAGATGTAAGCCAAAAGAACTTTTCAATTATACTACTGCAGTCTAGGCCCACGTTTCGGAAACCATGGCCTCGAGGGCAAAAGGCAACAACGCTAGGCTTCGTCTTATCGCCAGCCCACATTAGGTGAATATTTTTCGGGGGCGCCTGGTACGGTAACGTCTGGTTCTCCTCCCACTTCGTGTTATTTTGTCCCTCTCGGTAGAATTTACGGCAACACCTCGATCAGGAGGTAGGGAGAAGCCCACGTAGAAGTAGATACATATCGCAATATACTAAGATCGGGTTAGTCCATATCAGCAGACATGTATCGGAAATGTTTTGCCTACCTCTGTCAACAAAGCCATAAGCGCGAAGAGAACCGTAGAGCCGACTATTGGGTTCCATATGGATGTATGATACTCGAGCAGCCCATTGCCTACGGAGCTGTAGTAGTTGGTACCATAGTATAAAAGAGCGTAGACGTTTCGAGCGATAAGAAACGGTGCTGCCACAAGGGCACCACCTAAGACCTGGGATTAGAGGTACAAATTCAGCTGTTGCATTTTGAATTGAGTCATCTTTAGCGTACTTACTGTGCGGCTGCTTGCGTGGTATTCATGTCGATGACTCCAAAATACGAGCTGTGTACTAAGAAGGCCAAGCAAAATAGCGCCAAATGCAGAGTACCCTGTCAATTGGAGTATTCTTGCGATATTTGGCTGCGAGGTAGCCATAGAACTCCCAGTAACGAGTACTATAATGGCAAACAGGAGGGCAATACGAACGAGTTTGGCGAAAGAAAGGATGCGGTTTTTGTCGCTCAAGTTGTCAGTCATACTGCGAGCGGTGTCAATATAAGTATAACTCATTCCAAGCAGACTCCCTTACACAATTAGAACGAAACCGAAGTTTACGATGAGCAACGGGATAACCCCGACATTGAGGAGTATGGTAGCTGCAATCAAGAGACCCTCACTCGTCAAGTCATAAGCCAAAGCGATAATGACTGGACCGCCAGCAAGGCGCACTTGGAAATCATCAGCAAAGGAATAGTGTAGCCAAAGTATGATTCAGCTATCCGTGCTTACTAAGGCTTAGAAGAATAAAAGGATACCACGCAACCCTCGGGCGTGTGGGCCAATTGCGGTGCACTAGATACACGGCAAGCGGCGCGATGGGCGCGTAGAAGACTGTCTCAGCAATGCCGAGAGCAGCAAGAGGTGGAAGCATATCGAACAGTTGCGATGTATTCGATAATTGATGTTTCTGGGAGCCGAAGGCCGACTTTTTGATGATTATAGATGGGGGAGACGGCGCGCGTGTACTTAATATGCGTGATAGGTGTTGTGGAGGTTACTAAAAACCTTGGCTTCTTGGAAAGACAACGAGAAATCTGGGGTAAATAGGCAACCAATTTGAGAAAGACGCACATGCCACCATAGGTTGGTCCCAAAAAGTTCCTCATCTCTGGTACGTGTCCCAAAAGCTGGTTGTTTTCAATAGATCTGATTCGTTGTGTCACGTACGCTAAATCGCGCAAAGTGTCTAATCTTGGTTACGGGGGCCTAACTGCCTTATTCATAATTTGACAGTAGGGTGGTTCCTGCCATTTGGAAGTACCTGAAATGTAACTATATGAAAAGCACCTGACAATTAGCTTCCCTATAATCTTGGCAACCTACAAATGCCACCTCTACATCTATCGAATCACTAGTCATGAGAGTGGGATACCGAGTGCTAGGCCATCGTTTAGCAATGGACACAACAGCCGGTGGGTTTGGATTGATCGCTCGTAGCCGGGTAAATCTGATGGATCGCTTGGCACACATTCGTGACAGGCTGATAGATGGCCTGGTATGGTAATACTGTCTTAAGATCATCGAAACACTTGGTCCTATTCAGGCGCTGATCGGCGCCGCCACTACGCTTGCGGCTGATATCAAACCTTACGTTCAAGTAGTGGAAAAGTTGTGGTGAGAGGTGATGGCCTGTGCATTTGGCCTTCAATAGCGCTAAATGTGTTGGACCTTGACTTCTGAATAAGGCAGTATGTTCGTTTTACCTTCTCGCGCTAAGGGGTGGCAGCGCCGTTCAGCCCCGGAATAGGACTAGGTGTTTTGATCATCCTGCACACGAAATACGGTACGTTTAGTAACATGGCTAAGTAATGGTTGCCATTTGAGAGTACCTGTACGTAGTATTATGTACTGCCAAGCCACTTATGCTCAACTCCACTAAGACTACTATGATTAACTAGATCTTAGATTTACCTTAGCTAGGTCTACTAGTACTTTGCTATAGTGCTCTCTTAGTAGAAACACCAATATATGTACCTAGTCTGTGCCGTGAATTTTCTATCTAACAAGGGTAACTCTAATAGGCCTGCTCCTGTAGTATTCACTTTAACGTGATGTAGGAGCTTAGGACCGTCAGTCTGTATTTCCATAGGGATTTAGGCGAAGGATTTAGGCGAAGGATTTAGACCGTGGAGGCCGAAAGCTTGTTTCCTAAAAGACCAACAGCTCTCCATGCCGCTCCTCCACGACACTACTACCGCATGCTCTACATAATACCTACGCAGATGGAAGGCCTCCAGCTATAAAGAAGGGAAGCCACAACAACGGTTACTTACCACTAAGCCCACTGAGCAATGCCTTTAAGAAACTAAAACCGTTACAACCAATCGAGAGCGTTACAAGACTAGCGGAGGCGACCCCCGAACTTCTAGCGCTAGCGGTAATAAAAGGTTCCTGACTCCTTAAACTTGGCTCCCGAGCACCACCATGTAAGTTAGTGTAATGCGATGCACGTGACCTACTGAACTATGCGCTATTAAGAAAAGTGGTGTTACGAACAATGCCATATTGTATTCATGACAGGTGATTAGTGCGTTGCTCCTATAGGCTCACGTATAAATAGTTGTACGACAAAGAAAGCTCAAAGTATAAGGTGTGCGAAGTTCGGGTACGGTTTATAGATGCGGATAATTGATGCTACCGAGAGAATTCTGTCAAATACATACGAGAGCTTGCCCTAATGTAATATTCCCTAATCCCCGACCACGGTTCCAAAATGATAACCCCTCCTGCTTTGTCCTTATTCCCTTACGCACCGTTAACAAAATCAGAGACGACCACTATTCTTCGTATTCCACCGTCCGTGCCGAAGACCTAGATGACCACATTGGCAGCCAGACCCGCCGAGAAAAAGAAACAAGGATAGCTGACGCTAACTCAACGTGACAGTCGAGGTATTAAATAAGGAGCAAGCTAGGTGCCAGGAAACTGATTAATTAAGCAACACTGATCACTGCTAAGCACAACTGATTAAGGAACCATTAATAAAGGGATGAAAGGATATATTAAGGACGGCATTTGCTACTCTACCTAAACAGCCATTACCTTAATAATCAATGTAAACATCTATCTTACTTATATGTAAAGCCTATCAAGTTTTGGCGACTATTCTTCTAAATTCAGTTATACTCCAACCGCATCACTGCTCAGTACCTACAATTATTAATAGTCTTGTATAGCTAGCATATCCAGTTAGCATAAACACCCAACACCCTATACTTCCGGTTCATTTTCTAGCCCCTAGTATAGTAGTTACACTGGACACGGCCACGGTACTTAGAGGCAGCCCGATGGAGGCATAGGTTTGGCTCGTATTACTCGTATTATTGGTGTTATCTTGGTCTTAGGACGGATAAGATCACTTTATTCAGTAAGCCGAAGTACCGTCGATAATACGTGTACGTGTAAGGATAGTAGTAAATGACGGCGGACGGTACGTGGCAGATGGTCCAAATCCGAAATTGATTAATGATAGCAGGCCAACATGATGTCAGCAAACAACACCTCGTCACTTTCAGATTCATCCCACTCCTTTCACCATAAGAGTTTTGGAGGTGGCCAAGCTGGATAATCAATGCCCCTAAGAGAGTTCTGTTATGTATGATACAAGAGCTTGCTCACATGTTACCAAGCACTATGCGCACATACCACCACATAAAGGTACTTAGAGCTTCAAGCAAGAACCTCTCTTTAAAATTAATCATCCACGCTTAGCCTCCATACCTTTCTCAGTTCTCAATCACTACTTAAACCTCGTTAAATGAAATGCATTCTGTTTATTTCTCGATTCTCAAAACATATTATCTTTCAAGCTCTCTTGGAGTGTTTCTATATCTCATATCCAAACCCATCCAAATGTAATACTCTATAATCAAAGTCACGACATCGCCAAGATAAGGTAACAATAGGCGATATCCTCTTATTTACTACATACTTAATAGCCCGAAGCTTTCGTCCGTTGTTGCAAGATGTTAACACCCCCGCGCAGAACGAGTTATAAAATCCTGAATTCGCAATGTCTAAAATTCAACGCCCGGGAGCTCATCGGTTCTAGTTCCACCGATATAGTTATTAGCGGCATTCATTTCAACTTGACAACATTGGAGTATTAGAACTATACACTTTACGACAATGGCACCCTATCCAACGGCTCATAGTGCTTGCTCACCTTCGCGCCGTACACTCCGACCCTCCTCTACCCGAATGGTTTATTCATCAACAGTACATTATGTTACACCCTAATAAGTCCCATCAAAGCCCGTAGCGCCGTAGGTCTGGCATTCGCCGTGATGTTTGCCTTAACCCTAATTTTTACATTCATCAATTTGACCAAGCACGGCAAGTTATATCTACTGGTGGAAAAGAGATTATATCTTATAAGCAGGCGTTGGCAATGGTATTGGGCCATATTCGGGGCTAGCGCCGCCTTGATAGGGCTATTTACCGGCTTCGATGTCGACCGGTTCTACCTCCCCCGAACTTCCAATCGTCTTGAACAATTTCTTCTGGTTTATCCTGCAAATAGGAACTATGGCTCTTGTATAGGAAGCCGTTCGCCATTGGGGAAGCTGGATGGAGAGGCAATACATCAACCCAAGCTCCTTCGTGCTTTCGCAATCGGACCGGAGGGGAATGTTTGAGTTATAGCTGCCGTTATTCTTCTATCTATGGTTATGGACGGTGAGTACACTTAGGCTCTATAATGTCTTCATAACTAATCACACCACAGAACTTCTTTTTGATTATACCTCGAAACTGGGGCAATATTAAACTCCAGCGTTCTCCAAATCAGACTGCCGAGTTTGCTGCCCCAATAAGTACCGATGCCCGGTTCAAAGCAGCAGCATTCTGTCTGTTTATGTATTAGCTCACCATTATTGTTTCACTATGGCACTCCATTCGGCATTATAAGCCTCGCAACCGAGGGTTCTTCAACCGTCTTATCGGTGGCCTAGGTTCTATGCCCTTCCGATTTGTGCTCCTCATATCACTTTCCCTGACAGTCGTGGCATATCAAAGTCTCGCTTCGTAGCAATTTAACTTATTACCCCTCAAGCTGGCCTCCAACCTAGTAGCCATGTACGTTGGTGGATATGCGCCGGCCTTGTTGATTCTGACAATCCAAAATATCGCTGGCCTTATACGGCCCAACGAGGATCAAGCTCTCATCCAGCAGCGTAGGCTGCGCAGTGCGGCTATCAATCAAGAATTGGGTCTCGTACGGAGGCCAGCATGGTGGAAGCGCATAAATGGCGATACCAATACCTTGAGCATGAGGGATCGGATCATGCGCAACGTTCGCGAGGTCGGTGGTGGGCATCCTACCTTGAGAAACGTCGAAGCTGCTGCTGCAACGAGAGCGAGAGAGATAAAGGCCATTGCCGTTGCGGCGCCTATCGAGATGAATGAGATGAAACGCACCAACAGTATCTCGAGCAGCATCCGCACAAATGGGCAGCGACCTCCTCCACCCTACACACCGTATTCTGGTAGGTCGAATGCACGGAGTTCGGACCGGGCGGTGCAGTTGGCCGCAGGGCTGTTGTTTCCAAGTGCATCACCGATAGTGGAATCACTCAACGGTTCTGTGCCAGCGAACGCCATTAGCGGACGAAGCTCACAGCATCGTCCTGGAACTAATGAAAGAAACAGGAGTACCACTAGTGGTGCTTCATTAACTGCTCAGCCTCAGCAGATCAAGAGCATGTTGGATGTATAGGGTTAAACTTAGGACACGGATGGAATGGTGAGATCGACGGGAATTAGCGAGCTAGAACATGTCACAAATTTACGTGTTATGATTACTCTTGCATATAGGGCGTGATTTGGACGGGTCAGTCATTTGGAACATGGGGACAATATGGTCTGGATCACTACATTGAGGGACAGATGCAGATAGTAGCTATACGTATTTTTAATATCAATAAAATAGAAGTCAACCTGCTATCTCTTGCTTGCTCAAGTCCATCCTCTTCCAAACAATAACACCCCTATGCTCTCTTTCCCCCCTTTACGTCAACCTCACTCTAAATCACATATTAGTTAAAGACGAAGAAAGCAAATAATGCCATATCAGACTCTCCCAAGGAGATTCTTCCGACTATCATACCCGCTCTTTAATTGCCTCATACAGTACTTCCGAGTACCGCCCACCCAACCTACTTTGAGAATAGCGCGGTACTGGTGAGTAAACTCAGTTTCGCTCTTTTTGATTTAGAGGCTCTGTCACGGGACGCGGTACGAAAATTTACTTGCTGTATACTCTATGTATTGTGAAAACTCTAAAGCTGAGGAGTTGAGAATTTCTCACGCAACGCGCAGTTAAATACAATGGGGGGTGGCAGTGTGCAGCCTTCAACGCACAGACCACTCAGCATGGATCGTCACATGCTCCACTGTAGCTGTATGTGTGGCAATATGGATGACTATAGATGGCCATAGTGTACGGAGAGCACTCCGTACACTAAGGTGACGAGCTCACGGATCACCAAACTTGGGAAGTGGTGATCACGTGACTGAGCCAGTGGGTATATGCCCACTTTCTGTACACCGATATTCTCTTTTATGAACTCAGACTTCTATATACTACTTGACAGTACCTATACTATCATTTCACGCTTAGAGCGTTACACTTGCGATCCCATGCTCATGCGAGCACCGTATTCACTATCCTATGCTCGAGTAGATTTAGGCTCTTCCTTCCAGTGCATTACACCTGACCTTCACTACAACAGTCCTCTACATTAACTGTAGAAACTGTCATAGTTATGAGTCCGGTTAGCGCTGCGGTTTAGGGCGCGCATTCCATACTGCCAAAAACAGATGAGTTGTACGTACGGCTACAAGAGCCTACGGCGATAGCTGCCCGAGAGTGCGACTAGTTCGTACAGTAAGGCGCATCGCACACACTCGACTCTTCTAAATGGCGATTCTACCGAATAGCGACTCCGAGGGAGGATCAGCGAGACAGCGAGGGAGGATCAGCGCGACAGCGGCCTGAGAGGTGAAGCGGCGCAAAATCCCTGAGCACAAGGAGAGGTCTAGAGTTCGATTCCCTAAGAATGGCCGTTACATATAGCCCTTCCACTGGGGGGGTGCAAGGCCTAGGGGGTGTGTGGCAACGAATATATACCCTGAGATTACCATCGTTCTATTGACGGTGGGCCCATTGTTTTTGAATGTCACAGTATGGCATTATTAGGCCGCAGATAAAAGGTGGCTAAAGAACCATTACGGCTAGAGCACCCTGTACAAAGGCTGCCGGAATTGTTAGAATTGGAATATACTGAAGCGTGCTAGAGGCCGCCGGAGCTACTAGATTATAATGTTTGCCATTCAACGAAACCTTAATGGAGAGTTTTTCACACCGAAACCTCCGTCGAGAAATACCTATTCGCATATCCCGAACTCTTTTTTACGGGAGGTGCGACCGGCTTTATTTAAAGTTTCGCTTCGGTCACTAGTGGTGCAGTTACGGGGTATTGCAGTACCAATTTGTAGCTGCACGGCAGTGCTCGTGCGAGCTTTGTACCTTTTAAGTGCCTCGTAGCGCTCGTAGCAGCGCTACAAATCACGATACTTTGTTTACCTCAGCTGAATGCGACTATCGCACGTCGCAACCTGCTTAATACGCAAATCAGCCTAATGTACAGCCGGCCCGACCTGATTATCTCCTTATTCTGTTGATTGATTCATTACAACGTTCTCAAGTCGATTGGTGCATCACACCAATGCTCCCGAGCCGCGTCGCAAATGTCTGAGGATCGCCAACGCCGAATACAGTCCTGGATCGACCTTATTCAGCAGTCCGTTGAAGGACCTCCTGCTAAACTTATATGCCGTGGTCTTGACGGCGCGGATCCCACCACTGTTCCTAGCGGTCCTGCGCTGACCGACAACCATATGGACATGCCCGCGACGTCTACGGGGCGGAAGAGAGCTATTGAAGACGGAGGTAGCGCAGGTATTGTTACCTCTTCATATGCTTGTACTTGTGCTCTTGCTGGTGCTCTTGTTAGCAATGTGCGATCATCAATGTAGAGCAGCGGACAACACCACGACCGATCTTCCCAATGCGGAATCGTCGAAATTGGCAACCAAAGCGACCCAAGTCAAGCAGTCCTAAGAAGACCAAGTCCATCTTCGAACAACTCCTGAAGCCGGTCAACTTACAAGGCTTTCCTATTGGTGCCCGTGTCCTTGAGAGACTGACAGATGATGTCAGTCCTCTCTACTTGCAGATATACAATGCGACCGAGAAAGAGGCTATCATATCATTCGAGCTCCGTGATCAGATGATGAAGCAGCATGGGGCATAAGCACATTCGTTTGAGACGCCTGACGCGATGGACGGTGCTCGACCAGAGCTTTAGCGGAATACGAGTCTTTATGCAAAGTCATGCCGAAGGCCGCAGAGGCACTGTTCTGAGAGCGACATGAGAACCTGGAATAATCACGTCCATACGCCACTGTTGGAACTGGTCTTCACTTCGAGCATTGTGGCCTCCCGAATATGGTTAGCGATGAGCCATTATTTGCTTCGACACAACGTCAGCGTCCACTACGAGATCGTCACGACCGCCTCGATCGCAGCCGACTCGCTTCCAATGCAGCCAACAGCCGCCAACAGCACGGCCACGGTGTCGACTTATAGTCATTAGTCTCGGCAAAAAGTATGGGTCGGGGTTCCCAGCATCGCCAGACGGACTAGACGACTATATCTAGAATTGACAACTGTGGTGACAGTAGGAAGGTCGACTACGTGCTGGTCAGGGATATGCCAAAGACTGCAAGGCTCCAAGAAGAGATTTCCCGCATCATCAACATGTAGATTGTTGCGGCATAGCTCCCGTTAACCAGACCCACTACCGACCCATCGAGAACAGTCTCACTGTCATGTCAATTGAAACGAAACCGGGGCTCCCTCACCAAGACCCTCTCTTGCAGCTTGGTATATGGACTACGGCCTGGCATAGTCGCATGTACGACCTACGTCGCTCACTCGTTGGCGCTGGCCCGCGACCACGTCTGGTCTGCTAACCCTGATTCAGGAAGTAGAACAAGTTCGGCGAATATACTTCGCTTGTGATATAGGGACGTCCGTCCATGTGCGTGGTCCTATAATTATCGGGACCACGGAGAGCATCACATCGGTGTACGTCTTGCTAGGATCGCTTAGAGCCATCAAGGAGTGGGTTGTGGTGACTTTCCAAGATGTGTTGGAGAAGAGGTTCATGGTGAAAGAGGACCCGTCTGCAACGGAGGCCCTATATGCATCGGAAGTACCCTCTGCCGAGAGATTGCTTGGTGAAGCTTCCCCGGAGTGTCTCCGTCTGTAAATGCACCAGGAGTCTTGTATGCCTTGTGCTCGTGCATCGGTTGTGTTTGATTTCCACTGATGCTGTCTTGCCTTATCTTCTTGATCTGGACAAAGACACGAGGTTCTTGGACTTGACAATGACCTTGAGGTTGGCCTGGGCTTCTCAAAACCTTGTGCTGAGTCGTCAAGGGTGGACATATGTCGGCTGTACCCTTGGCTGGCTTCCGCTGGTTCGAGAGCCGTGATTTGGCTCTGTGGAGTGGTAAGTCCTTTGCCGTCAAGCACTTGTCAAGTATCTGCGTCTCCAATCCCCCAATATTTTGGCCATAAGCTAAAGTTACTGCTGCGGAGTCCTTCACCATTAGATTTAAGTACTATATCATGGGTTTAAGCTATTAGGCCTTCCTGATTTGGACGATCTCCTCAATCGCTGTGGCTGAGTACTTTCGCTGAAAACAGTCCTATTGCTCGCCATTGAGATGAGGATCTCATCGAGAATGTGCATGCCAAAGGAGTCCTACAGTACGGATGGCCTAAAAATAGTGTCTCGCTTAGCCTATGAACAGGGAGCCATGTAATTGTCTATTTGGGAAAAGCCAATACCCTTGGAGCACAGATTCCCGACATTGGAAGGGTGTATTTCTGGGTCCCACGTGTATTTGCAAGTATAGGCTTTGCCAGCGCCTAGGCGCCGTCTGAGTGCACACCGGACTACTCTTCAACATCACCTTTCGTAAGTTTTTGGAGCTCCGTCACTACTCCAATAACCATGACACCAAAGCGCAAGAATTGAAGACGAGTACATACACACACGCACACACATCCGCAGGCAATAAGAAGACGTTATTGTTAATCGTAAATGTTTACGCTCTTCCTGAAGATCCCGCCTGAGCGTCGGTATTTCGGGCCCTTGCAGCCCTGGTCGGTCGTCTTGTTCTCGAAAGCCTCGATGATCCCGTAGTAGGCGGGGTGTTTGGTGAAATTGTCAAACCATAACAACGGGGATCCCTGGCCGGGGAAGGTGACTGGTACCCAGCTGAAGGGGTCGTAGAAGTCCCATATTGTGATGCCAACACAGGCTTCGACTTGGACACATGCTCCGGCAGCCTACATATTGACATGGGTTTTAGCGGTCAACCGTTAAGAAGGTAATGAAAGGAAAAGGAGGGGGAGGGGGTCTGCATGGAGCTTACGGTTTTGTATGCTTGCTTCTGAGCCTCCAGACTCGTCTCATTCACCGGCAACTTGATTCGCACGTCCAGTTCCGTCATGGCCACCTCAACCCCCTCCGCAGCATATGAATTCATGGCCGCAATGGTCTGTTCCAGTGTCGGCGAGCTTCCTACAGCCCAATGCGACTGCATCCCAACCCCGCTAATATTGATTCCCTCTTGCTTGAGCATCTTGACAATCCCCACAGCGGCAGTTGCTTTGCTGCCAGGGGACTCGATGTTATAGTCGTTGTAATACAGCTTGACATCTGGGTCGACCTTCTGCGCCGTGCGGAACGCGAGCTTGATGTAGTCCTCGCCGAGCGTGTCGTAGAAGACAGACTTGCGGTAGGTGCCATTGTCGTTCAGAGCTTCGTTCACAACATCCCAGGCGTAGCACTTGCCCTTGTAGTGTTCCATGACGTGCGTGATGTGGTTGACGATCATAGCGCTCAGGGCATCGGCTGTCCAGTTGGTGGCCCCCACCCAGGGCGCGAGTTGATTGTGCCAGACTAAGGCGTGGCAGCGCTGGAGGAGTCCCTCTTTCTGAGCGATCGATGTTACAATATCTCCTTCGGTGAAATTGAAGACGCCTTGCTTGGGCTCTGTAAATAGCCACTACACCGGTTTGAGTGGTTTGTCGGACTTTCCAGCAGAGGGGTGTACGCTGCTCTCACCTTTTGCCCGTTGCTAGCCGTGGTCTGACCGAACTCGTCCCCGTCCCTGAGGATGGCATCATATGTCTGGTACGATGACTCCAGCCCGGCTCGCTCTCGTTGTCCTGGTGAGTCGGTCGCAGTACCGAAGTACTTGAGGCCAGCCTTCTTGGCGTAATTGTCCAACTGCGCAGAGCACAAGGGCAGAATCAGAGCCAGGAGTGAGGTTGGGTGGACCATCGTATGTCTTTACTACAAACAAATTAAATATCGAGTAGTAAGGAGCCGGCGAATGATATAGTGGCGTAAGGAAGGAACAGGATTGGCATATTAGGACCGTGGCAACCCATTATATGCTGGTATGATCGCTTTTCCTAATTTCTTTGGTATAAATCATCGTCAATTCTATTCTGTATGAATTTTTTGGCCCCACAACTTCGGAAAACTACCGCCAGCGACTCATCACAATCATAATGAATCAAAAACATGAGGGCGACATTAACCAGTAGGCTGATGGCAAAATAGTATTTGATTATGTGTCCGAGATTTCCACCAATCCAATTACAGTTAGCATGCTGTCTGGAAAGCTGAGTTGTGACCCGGGACCCTGGTTGGGATATTACACAGCGGCTAATGGCACCCACCAAAGGACGGCTAAATACAAATAGCCAGGCTATATGCATGTAACGTCGATGTGGGGAAATTCCAGGATCCAAGATTGCGGTTCGCTTATGCTTGATTCGCTTGGCAACCAAGATTGCAGTTCACTTGGGTTTAATTGACGGGGGTAAACGTACAGCCCGCTAGGATCCTTAGCTCATCTTTTACCCCTTTGAGTTAATGATCAAAGTATATAACTTATTATTGGCTCATTCGCCTATCGAAATTTTGTAATAATTACAACAAAATCTAGTAGATAAGATTAGAGACTAGAACGGGCTCCAGGATCCGCCCCGCGTATGTAAAAGTGCTCAATGGGCTATCTCCCATGGCGTATACGAGATAATGCGTATCACACTTCGAGTAGCTAAAGTAGTACCTACCACCGCGTTTATGCATCCACGCAGCCACGAAGAAGCGCCAGTCATAGTCGTCAGCGTTAAGCGGCTTGCCCGTCTCGGGCGCCAGGATAACATTGTCCCGCACGGGCGACGCGAACATCCGCCAAGCGAGTACGCTGCGGCTGTTTGTGGAATATCATGGGACTGCCTGGGGTGTCTGTCGGTCTTGTCCCGGTAGAATGAAGGTCGGGTTCTCCAACTTTTATTCTAATTTACCCGCCTTATCCTTCGATGCGGCACAACATTCATCCCAGTCAATTTGCACACAGGAGTCATCCAGGCCCAACAGCGGTTCCGAGAGCAGGGTCTACAAAAGCCTCGGATCAAGAGCTGTAGGATGAGGGCACTGCCAAGAGCACAACACCATTACAAATCCCTCTCTTTGGCCCACTGTTACGCACCTAAGTGAGATGGGGAAAATGTTTGCCATCCTGCATAAGGTTATTCTACATGGTGATGCTCTGGCTTTTACCGGCCCAGGCTCGTTAGCGCTTGGGCGTTCTTATATTGTTAATGTCCACATAACTAACCGTATCTTTCGTTCCAGTGGCTAATAATAATGGTGCCCAGTCACGCTATGAATGGTGTTCTTGATGTCGGTATTACTCCCCTTGAATACGCATGTATGACGATCAATTTATCAAACGGGTTAGATTAACTATGTCATGGACTATGTCGTCGATCACAGGTTGATCCCGAAGAGAATTGGATCTATTATTTGTAATATCAAGTTAAGTTGAAGATCTGAGAGGTCTACAGCTGAATGGAGATTGTCCAAAGGCCTTGACGCAGAGACCACCTGGCAACAGATTTTCTGCGGCTAGCAACGCATGGCGGACCCTATTCATGGTGGTCTTTAAGAAAGTCTTTCAGTCAACGACTCCGAGGGGCAAAATCGAAATGTAGTCCAGTGGCGCTGATTCCAACCCATCGGGAGTGCCCACAACCTTGAGAACGGCCCCACTTTTGACATCGACATTCCTAAAAGTGATCCTCGTGGCGGTCTGTCCATCAATGTAGGGCGTTGGGGCCTTTCCAAGATTGTACTCAACGTCGCCCTTCCACTTTCCCACCAGGTTGTCATCTAGATATAATTCCCAGGAAGAGTTGCCAATCGCCATGTCGAAGTAATTCACTGCCATATTGTACTTGCCAGAGACGTTTAGCAACGTAGTAGTTGCAGTGCCCTGCGTGGAGTTGCTTGATGTAACAATGCAGACACCCTTTGATGCTGATTCGATAGGCAGAACTTTGTACGGCTTGTAGCCGTCCAGCTGCATATCTTCTGCCTCAATTCTGTATATGTAGTTTCCAACACGGCCCCTCTCATCGGCGATTCCGGACTTGTTGAAGTAAAAGTTAGTGATGCTATCCCTCCACACTATCGAGTGTCCGGCTTGGTAAACCAGATGATACAGGATGTGCTCGTATCGTTCTGCATCGATTAGTCCCTTCAAGCTTTCCCAAGCAGACGTAAACATCTGGGCTGTCGCCGCACCATTGTAGTGGGCATCGTAGATATGTTGGATCACAGTCAGGCCGGACTTGAGTGGCTGATTGTACTGTACGTGGTGGAACCAGAGCAGCAGATTGTCGGGCGTAGTCTCGATTTTCTCGTACCTTGCCGCCAGCTCCGGGGGATACTGTCCCGCGAATCCCGTACCGTTCCATACCGTGCGATCCATGCCGATAGAGTTACCATCAGCTCGCGTCCACTGACCCCAAGGATTGCCATCTTGAGAAGCGGGATTGGGTCCATAATGGGCCAAAAGGATATTAGTCAGGGTCTGAATGCCGAGATTGCCAGTGTAGTTCTCATAAGCAGGCCACGAGCTCATAGATATGGATTTGATGGTGTTGACGACAAGTTCGTCGTGGCCGAATGTGAGCTTTGTCCACGATTCGAGCAGATCCTCGGCAGATAGATCAGGATTCCATGCTAGTCGGCCATACGCGTATAGATTGGACATGGCAGTGTGACTGCCGAGCCAGGTGGTGTTGGTACCGGCGTTGACAACACCTGCGTAGCCCCCGAGCTTTTGATTGAATCGCTGGCCTTTGATGATATCCTTCAGACGAGAAGATTCACTGTCAACCCTCAAGTCCAAGTCAAGCATCTCCTTCCACATCGGAGCCAAATATACCAAATGTGCCTGCTGACCCAAGTATTCTTGGCTAATCTCGAGCTCAATAGCGCTGCCGGTTTCACGAAGGTGGGCGAACAACGGCGAGACCGGCTCACGCACTTGGAAGTCGATTGGTCCGTACTTGATCTGAATCACGACATTGTCTTCAAACTTGCTATCCAGTCCATCGAAAAATTGCACAGCTGCATTGGCACGGTCTGCTTTCCAATCGAGTGTCTGGTTCAAGGTCGTAGAGTCGTAAACAAAGGCACGGAACATGACAATACCGCCATGCGGCTTCACTGCCTTTGCGAACAGATTGGCGCCGTCGGCCAGAGTCCGGTTGTAAGTCAGTGGGCCCGGCTGACCTTCCGCGCTTGCCTTGATCAGATAGCCAGCGAAGTTTGGAACCTTGGTATATATGGTATCGGTAATATCGTGCCACCAATTGATGACCCCCTGATCCAGGGGGTCAAAGGTGGTAAGCCCTCCTAGGTCTCGAGGGGATGAGAATAGTAGCGATATGCCGATCTGGATTCCCCACGGGCGGAAGGCATCTGCAATTCGACCGAGGCCATCTATGTTGCGGTCGCTCAAAAGAGTCGCGTTGGCATTGACGTTGTTGACGACTATTCCGTTGATGCCAATGGATGCTAGAATCCGAGCATATTGGGCAACTCTAGTTAGATCATCACGCACGAAGCCATCCCAGAAGAACTGTATCATGGTCAGCAGCGGGATTTGGATGAAGAGACCACAGAACTTACGATTGAGCTTCCACCATAACCACGTTCAACACTGCCATGTGTTCCACCGTTCATCAGATTGTCCCATTGGTTGACCCATCGTATGGGAGCGTCCGGGTTTGAAGCATAGGCAACTTTGGTATCGACACCTTGAGCCAATCGAGAAAGATACTCGAACGCGCCATATAGGGCTCCCCTCTCATTCTGTCCGAGAATCAAGACTGTGTCTCCACGAATGTCCAAGTAGAAGCCATCATCGATCAGCTGAGGGATGTTCTTCTTATCTGAGGAATAAGCATCCACTGTGCCAACAATGATGGCCGATTCGGAACCGTTGCCGGACTCTCTCTGAAGTTCATGCTGAACAGTGACGTTAAGACCAAAGATACCGCTCAGTCCTGTTTTAATCTCTTCTCCGGCAGTGTATACCGGGCTAGTTTTGGTCGTATTGAGCGAGATGACTGTTGAAGGAAGGCGGCCCTGCCAGCAATTGGCATTGGGGATTGGAGCATAGCGGAGCCAGGCATTCAATCCGTCCTCTGCTATGACGCAGCTGACGAACAGAGTGGCAAATAGAAGACGGCCGATGCTCATCATGGTAGGTAACCCTCGTTTCTAGATTCTTTTTCAAATAATAAAAGGTGAAACTCACATTGAATTGAAATCGCGGGCCCGGGACGCGTAAAAATGATTCCTTTAAGTCCCAGGATATAGAACAATAACATGTGTCGCAATTTACTTTGTTTACAGACTAGTCCCTACCATGTGAGGAGGCAATCCACCAATGGCGTTGCCGCGGCTAAATGTTCGGATCCCAATGATATATACCAAGACAATATTTGCTGGGAATTTCTCCGGCGTACGTTCTTGGAGTCTGCTCTCCTATGTACATACGTACTCTGGGAGGATGCAGGAAAATCATTGCTTTGTCGTTTTACATTCATACGATATTCAACACGGTAAAGAGCCGAAGACTTAAGCGACCAAGATTAGAAATATGAGTGTTGCCATCGGACGGCTTATTTCAGTTATTTCAGAATTATGCAGCTAACAACGCCGTGGGATCAAAAGAACATTATTGGACAAGGTGGCGATTGTCCGCTCCCTGTGACATACTATAAACGTTATGCTCCGGGGGGTTCCACCGGGCAGATGTGCCCTAGTCTAACCAAAACCTTTTAACATTATTTAAGTTTTAGGGAAAGGCTGAGGCAAAGCAGAGGACACCCGCAAGAGGGGAAATTGAATTTGTGGGGGATCCTTGTCGTGAAATCCTTGTCGTGAGATCCTTGTTGTGATTTCAATAGCCGACGGCTAATGAAATATGGATCTCCAACAACTTTTCTCAATTCGACAGCACTGTAAGACTTGGGTAACATGTGCTAAAAGTCGGGGGCTGTCAGGGACCGTCGATACAGCCCATCTTGTTTGAACTTGCACATGGACGGATGAAGGAGTGCGTGCCCATACTTGGAGCGCGGGTTTTAGTGGCATTCTGACGTCTGAGTCGCACCCACGGCTCTTACAAGACTTCGGTATAGGGAAGAAGCATGATATATAAACGTGCGTTATGTGTGTTGCTCTACCTGTTGCTCTACCCTACAATTAGCCTGGTTGATTTATTAGACGCTCAAAAGTCACCCGATACTGCTCTTATCTATCGCGATAGAAATTTCCATCATTTCATCTTTTCCCCATCTTGCTCCGCTACTGGCGGAAACAGCCTTGTTCACGCAGGCTCGTTGATGAAATATCACAACGACGACCAATATTTGACAATGCCTCCGATAAACACACTAGATTATCCAGGTCAACGATCTGACCACTGCAAACCTAGAGCGGCTGTTCAGAATGCCCTCGTAAGATGCGAAACGTGTAAGATGAAAAGGGTACGTTAATTCCAGAACCAGGCTTGCTCCTATAATTCCTCCTTTCTTGGGGCTTCGAGAAGCAATCGCTAAGCTTGTCTTAAGGCGAAATGTGATGGTGGCTATCCGACCTGCGGATGGTGTCAACGTCGTAATGTCCTCTGCGAGTATCGAGACAAAACAGCAGGATCCGGAGCTGGTTTTGGAAAAGGGATTGAGCAACGAATGAATAAGCCCGAATATCTTTTGGGGTCGCTTGAAGATAAATGCCAAAGTGAATGTGGTGGAGTTCCAAATATATCGGGGTCCGACGTCATGGATCCCAGTTTTATAGCTGTCCAGATGATCTGTGATGATTCTGCACCCAACCCCTGGGATAGCAATCTCACAGGGACTTCGCAAGTCGAGAGGGCGCTCTATGTACAGACCCCGTCTGCACACACGATAAGCGCCCTGGGTAAAAGTCTATACTTGCCACCTCTTAGCAATTCTACGAGGTCTAATAGCTTTGAGCCGTCGATGTCATTCGCCAGCATATCGCCCTTAACACAAACATCTACCACGCCTCCAAACTTCACTACACAGGAGTCTGCCTCCACATGGTCGGTATTCCAGTTGCCAGGCCCAGACGCGATACAAATACAGGATCAGCTACTGATTGACGGTGACCTTCCACCTCGCAATATTTTATACACTTTGATCAACCTCTACTTCGAGCACATCAATACGTGGTGCCCCATATTGCAAAAGGAGCCTATTCTCATTATGTTGCTCAGCCTATCTACACTTAATGAGACAGATCAAGTTTTATTACATGCGATCGTGGCAATATCTTTACGATATTTTACTGATACCAGCCTGAATGACGGGAAGAAAGAGCAATACTACAAGGTCTCAAAGGATAAGGTACTGCTTTTCTGCATACATAATTCCTCACTCAAGACCTTGCAAGCTCTGCTGATCCTGGCATTGGATCTCTACTGGGGATGCAGCAAGTTGGGAGGATGGAACATCACAACCATCATCACCCGCACCGCAACTCAACTTGGTCTAACTGTGGAGAACACCTCTTTCTTAGCGTCTCCGTATTCTATATTTCTCGACGACTTGAGGCCGATGACGCTGCCAGATTCGCAAACCTTTGTTGAAAATGAATCGAGACGAAGGCTGTTCTGGATGATCTATATCCTTGATCGATATGTAGCAATGGAAACCTCTTTCGACTTCGCCTTAAATGATGAGCAAATTAGACGAAGGCTGCCTTGCCACGATGAATTCTGGATCAAGAATCATTGGGTGGAAACAAAATGGTTTCAGGCTAGGTATAGCTCTGAAACCCTACCGGACCACATCCCAAACCAGCATGAGAACCTCGGGGCCTTTTCATATCACGTCGAACTTTTTGGTATCCTGTCTGAAATCTGTAGGTTCCTCAAGGATCCCATTGACATCACTTTTGCAGACAGCGCGGAACGATGGCAGAGACGATACGAAGAGCTGGACATTTTACTTATGTCTTGGCAGTTTAGCTTGCCAACAGAATATCGAAACATTTCCGAGAAGCACCTGGAAGCGAGTGATCAGCCGTTAGATTGCATATGGATCATGTTACAGGCGACATATTGCACAGCAACCATTCAACTGCACTCATCTGCCATTCGCCACATTACAAACGGGTCCAGCTTTGGCTCTTTAAGCGACGCAAATCACAGTTGCTTTTGTGCCGTAGAGGATATAGCTACGCTGGCAGTGTCTGCTCTAGGCAATGGCCTGCTCACCAGATTGGGTCCCCCGCTCGCCTTTTCGCTCTACATTGCAGCTAGGCATTTGTTGATCCACGGGCGCGCACTTGAACAAAAGCCATCATCCCAGGCTGCTATCTTAGTCAATACACTTCGGGAGATAGGTCGATACTGGACTGTTGCTGTCCGGTACCTCGAGCTGCTTTAGTTCTAGCCTAGCTAGCATAATCACATTACAATCTCAGTTAACACGTAAGATCAGTTATAGGCGCAGCCGTGTATATCACCTAGAAACTCGACTCAAACTATGTGTGTGCTTGATGAAGTTCTAAGGTTAGGTGTATTCTAATCAGGGGGGGTTTAGACCTATTTCAATGCATGTATTAGTTACATCGCGTAAATTGAAATAAATGGCATTGTTCATGCCCATATATCTAAATAGAAAAAACAAGCCATCCAGACACATACTATAGTATAATCCTTGTTTCTCGAAACTCCAGGCCTTTGCAATATCCGCAGGTGCATTTTTAACTCTCCATTATATCAGGGAAGACCACGGAAGGGGCGCTATGATGCCTGCTCCTCTCATCCTCGAACCTTTGAAGAGGTATACCGGTGTAGCCTGTCTCCGGATTCGTGCCCGTAGTATAGATTACAATCAACCAGATGCTCTTCACGCCCTTATAATAGTTCGATAGTCGCCTATGTCCTACCAGAAGGTCTCGCTGGTCTCGCCGCTTGCGCCTCCGTTGAGGGACTTGGAATTCCAAACGAGAAAATTGACCCAGATTTAATATTAAGGGGACTCAAGGTCAGTCGCGAAGTACTACTTGTGTCAGAGGGTTTATGGCAAAGTGAGAGACTACAGAGCAAGAGAAGATCAACGCCTGCGCTAAGTATATTGATAGTTCGGGTTGACAGTGATACAGACTGAACTCTGCCTTTCTCTAGCATAGGGATCAGTATTCCTACTTTATGTAACCAAGTCCTGCCCCCCATGTCTGCGTACGCTGTGCATGCTCCTGCGTAGCGCCGGAACTGCGGGATCCGTAGCGTGCAGCACCTCTGTCTGAGCTCTGGCGATCCGGTCACACCAGCGTATCATTTCTTTGAGTAGTTCAAATCGACTAGACTCTGACAACTTCAAATTTGACTTAGCCTATATTGATAGACAGCAGAGTCTTGTGATCTGGCAGCTGTTCTATGTCGCATCGCTCGGATGCATAAAAAGCAGTTTTTGCATTGTGCTGCTACAAATTGCTTTTCACAAGGTCTAACGTTGATTATTGTATATATGTCACACTATATTTACCACAGTAAGTGAGTAGAAATTGTGAATCTTCACTTTTGTCTATTTTGGCTTAATGGTATTTGTGGTTAAGTGGCCGAGAAATAGGAGTTAAGTATTAGGGGCATCAGGAGCGCTACTACAACAGGTGCGCCAATGATAACATTAGTGCAGAAATGAATGTATATATTAGTTACTGGGTTTCCTACACAGAGAATCATTACTTTAGTGATCAGTCCAAACATACATTTTACCCATAGTGGAAGCCTATAAACATTTGGCAAGTATTACTTGTGAACTGCCCATGCCTTATTGTTTAGCATATTGAACCAGGACCACTGTCTTGTCCCTTAGGTTATAAGCCTCACGACGAACTCGCTGGTTCACTCGCAGGCTGATCACTAAGAAATGAATGGAAAAAATGAACTTGGTGACCAAAATAGTATCAATTAGCGACAACGAGCCATTCTCGTTGTCTTCCGAATGCACCGTTGCAAAAGCTAGCAACTCGACCGTGCCAAAAAGCATGAAAAGCATGCTCTGGGAGACTATTTACAAGTTCCATCCCTTAGACCTTATAATGATCAGGCCCCAAACAACCCCGGACGAAGGTCGTACGACCCACTTAGCTCCCTTGCAGTAATTGTACAGCCAACACTCACTACTTCAATATACCTGTTAAAGGTATCCTCAAGGTCTCTATTAGTGGTTAGTATACCCTATTAACATAAAACCAAACCCAATTTATATTATTCGCGTTTATCTACCCCGTAGTAACAGATTAGTCACATTAGGTAAGTGAAGAGAATGACCAAATTGGTTGACAAACAACTAATGTCAGCTTGTATAGCTAACAATATGACCGCGCTCGCACCAGTCTTACAAGCCAAATCTCGATTGTGGATAGCAAGAGTGGATACCGTAGGCCGGCTGCTTAGCGGTGTTTAATGGCTCGCAGCAATTTAGACTCGCCGGGCCTCTTATATTGGCGGTCGGGGAGTCTGTGTCTGTCTTAAGCTTGTCCCAACTAGACGTTAGCAAAATGGAGAACGAAAACTGAAAAGTTAGGATCACATGGCTAAATTTTACTACTGCGCCTCTCGATTAGATAGTTAGCACCGAATGAAGGACGGAATTCCAATGAGAATATCATTCAGCATGCGTGTGAGGGGCGTTAGAACTGTGACCTCGGAATCGGCTCCAGCAAAATCAGAAAACGGCGTCAAAACCCAATAACGCCTCCAAACTGGCCATATTTGTGTATGGCGCTCAACTAGCGCACACTAGGCTTCGTAGACTGACTGCAAGTAACCTTTAACAAGTTTAATCGACATCTTAGATCCATAGTACCTAAGCTTGGACATGCAGCGAACAATAGAAGGACTGGTGCAATGGCTGACTTATTCGCATTCTGACACTAGTTTTATCATCCCTTAAAGCGAGGACCTCAAGGCAACAGTGATTACATTGGTGGCAAGCACGTCTCGCGGTACCTGTTGAAAATGATCTTTTTTTCCACCATCTCCATTTGTATCGTTATTGTACCACATGCTTTGATATCTCGATTACCTCTTTAATTCACCCGTCACCAAAAATAACGTCTCTTTGAACGATGATCTTATCCTTGTTGTTGCAGAGAGGATGGCGCGACTGAGGTTTCTCAAGGTGTTCAGCCGTAGGTTTCTGATAAGAAAACTCTCACGCATAATCCCCCGAGCTGGAGCGAATCGTGAGGGATTTTCTCGTCCTATCACTGTCTATATCATCTTGACGGTGACCACGCCGTGGGCTGGGACGGAGACGGTGACCTTGCTATTGGCCAGCGTGGCGCTGGATGAGGCGAAGGTGCTGCTCTGGTTAGTAGCCCAAGCGGATGCGGCCTTTGGGGTGAAGCCGGAGAAGGACAGCTCGGCCGAGGCGGCGGAGGTGCCACCGTTGGTGAAGACGACGACAACACTGCTATCAGTGTTTTTGAAGGCTCCGATGATGACGTTGCTGATGGTACCCGACGTGGCAACACGGATGGCACCCGGCCGGATGTATCGACTCCACATGGCGAACGCCCACATGATGGCGCTGGGCGTTGCGACGCCGTTGACCACGTCCACTAGGTGGGACGCTGACTGGGTCTGCCCGTTCTCAAAGCCCTCCCAGAAAAGGTATGCAGACAACTGGGCATTGACTATGGCGACAGCGAGCTTGTTGGCCCATGTGAAGCCCTCGGTGGCGGCACCCGAGCTGTACCACGTGGTACTGAACGCGCCGCTCGGTGCGCCTTCCGTATTCCACCTGGGCAGCGAGGTCGCATTCAGGCTTGTGGTTGCATCAGACGAGTAGCTGTGCGCCGTGATAACTCTCAGGTGGGATGTGGCACCACCAGACACCAGGTAGTTGAGGTACGTAGCCATGTTTTTCCATCCGAAAGTGTCGCAGCAGGCGATGCCGACGTCCGTGTGTCCTGCATTGACGAGAGTCTTGTTAAGAACACGAATGAAGTCAATGGCGTCGCTGGCGTCATCGTTGATCTGCATCTGAGAGTACGAAACCTCGTAGTCGGGCTCATTCAGGAAGCCAAGCTGTGTGATGGGTAGTCCCTCGGCATTGTAGTACTCTACATATTTCACCAAAAAGTTGGCGTAGGCTTGTCTCCAATCTCCTGTAGAGCAGGCGTGGCCGGAAGATCCGCATAGGTAGCTAAAAAATTGCGTATTAGTCAAGGCCCCCTCCAATGAGTTAGTGTTGTTCTCATATGATGAAACCTACCCAGGTGTTGATTCGTTACCGCTGGTCTTCATAAAGCCCGGTGCGCTCCAGGCGTCTGCGTATATGTAGTCCACCCCATAGCTCTTGGCTTGCTGCGAAAACCAGACCTGGCCTCTGTCATCACCATCCCAGACATAAGTTGGCGTGCTGTTGGGCGAGCCAGGGCTGTTAGGCTCAATACTGTCGCCGCTTCCGCCCGAGCCAATGCGGTTCCGAATGATCGAAAATCCGGCACCGGTCGAGGTGTTGAAGAGGTAGTCCAGAGCCGCCTTCTGAATAGTTGTGTCGCTGAGGTCTTGGAATTCTGAAGCCCTACCGAACGCCTGGGAGAAACCGAAGCCATGGATCTCCTGATATGACACGGTCATGGACACAGTGATGGCTGTCTGAGCCCGAACGGGCATTGCGGCCAGACCACCCAGGAGGGCGAGTATAGTGAAAATCGTCATCTGGATTCGTGCTAAGCAGCTAAGTGGCCGAAGTCGTTAATCTGGGTTACCCGAGATTATTAAGCTAGACAACGATTGTTGTAGGTCTAAATAGCTGCGCTGATCTCTTATATATTAAGAGATCTGTGCTTAATCTGTCGACCGAGGCACCATGTTCATATTAAATTTCTGCTCGGTATGGGGGTACAAGTACAGTTCGCTTGCGGATCATTTGTAACCCTGAATGTACACTTCCCTGTGGAAACGTGACACTGAGTTTGGATATTGTCGGGTATAATCTGTACTACGGTACCAGGCCGAAAAACCCACAGTGGTACAGGTATACATCCGCTTTCTGCCAACCAGCGCCTTCAAATGAGTACTTTATCGAGCTTACACTCTGAAGCAGGCCTGAGCTTTCGACATCTCCTCCTGCTTCAAACCAATCAACGCTTATAATTTCCTCGATCTTGTCTCGGTACATGCCCCACGATGATTAAATACCCTCTAGTACTCTACCTATCCTCTACAATCTAAATTGTATGTCTAGCGCTTAATTTGATATTGTGGGGTTGCACCCCACTTATCTATCCCTACAATTTACAGATCTAGATTGCATGTCTAGCGCTTAATTTGATATTGTGGGGTAATACTCTCTAATCTATCCTTTACAAATCTAGATTGCATGTCTAGTGGCTGATTGGAGGAACTACGTCACACTTCCTCCGGCTTGGGCGATTCGATTGATTGATTGATTGATTGTATTTAACGTGGGGACCGTCCCTTACTAGGGCAAACCACGCCTCCCAGAGCCATACATCGCAGGGTTTTGGAGGTATCAGTATCTACATACATTCCAGCCTGCGCACGTGCCAGTCCACGCTATTGCAGGACCTGAGTGAGAACACTCACTCAGTCCGTCAATTCAAACGGCCCTTCATCTCGGGCATGTCCTTGTGAAAAAGTTACTCCTCTCTACAAAACGCGCCCACTGCGCACTCTTCTCCCCCAAATATTGTGTATAAGCCGCCCTTGGCGTGTGCCTCGGGAGCAGTCGGTGTCCTTGCAATTTCCTACAGAAGAAAATATGCTCTGGTGTCTTTCTCTCTCCGCAACTGCAGTGGTTATTGGAGTCCGTATGCCCGAATCGTTCATGATATGCTGCAAAGTCGCCGTGGCCAGATCTTGCCGCCAGGAGCCTGTGCAGCGTAGCCCTTTTGAATGAGACGAGGTTCTTTGACACCGCCGCATATGAATGCACATCTTCATATCTGGCTTCGTCTTGCGCCGCCCACCAGCGGGCAAAATCGTCTTTTCTCTTTCCTTTGAGATGTCGCCGTACCCATGCAACCGTAGGCAGACTGTCTATCCTCGTCTCGAGCATTGCGCCTTCCTTGGCAAGTTTATCAGCAGCTTCGTTTCCTTCGATGTCTTGATGTCCCGGGATCCACTTGACCGTCACCCCAGGACTGTGCCCTGATGCAAGCTCCTGGAAACGTAGAAAGATGGCTTGCGACGATTCCGGTGGTGATCCATTTAGCCCGTCCACCACGGATGTGTTGTCCAGACAGACAAACAGTCGTTTATTCGGCCCGATCGTCCTCGCCGCTGCGAGTCCCTGCAACGCTCCGTGCACTTCGGCGTCGAAGACCTCTGCCCGGTGCAGCCTGCCTCGGTTTCGGTACACTTCTTCGGTGGTACCGCCTTTCCTAATGGTAAACCCCCAGCCTGTGCGCTTGTGTCCCTTTTCCTGTAACTGCGAGCCGTCCGAGTACACGATCAGCTCTTCTTCCTCATTTCTCTCCCGGAGCCATTCTTTGAGCAGCTCAGCTTCTCCATCCTTGCCTCCCCGATGTGGTGGTTTCTTGAAAGATGGCCGGACCAATTCTGGCCTCGGAAATATGGGGACTAGCTGATGGCATCTCTGGAGTCTTGTGGGGTCCTTTCGCGCTTGTAGTGGCAGCCGCCGCACTAGTGGATGCTCTTTGTCGACCCGCCCAAGCCGGAAACCGTGGCGTCGGCGGATGGACTCTGCCAGTATCTCAGCCGGCGGCATCTGCGACTCGAAATGCAGAATATGGCTTGGGTGCGTTCTCCACACAGGCAGAATGGCTCTCATTGCCGTTCGTAGAACGGACTGCATCTGCTGGAGCTGTTTCTTGACACGGCATGACGAAGTCGTGTTATCCTGCCTCGTCCTTTCCCGTCCTGGGTACCAGACCTCAAGGCCGTGCGTGAGGACCGGGATCACACAGGACGTGACGGCTTTCCTTGTCGACGCTACCGGAAGACCTCTGACGGTGTTGCATAGACTGCGGATGTGGTTCGCCACTCGGCTTGCCTTGCCCGTCCAGTGCTTGACATGGTCTCTGAAAGTCAGTTTCCTGTCGAGGAATACTCCAAGCCAGCGCATCGAAGGCTCTGCCCTCTTTCGGGCGGTGCCATGGGTGACGATAGGATTGTTGGTGTCTCTTTTCCTGGAAAAGTGCATAATCTCGGTCTTGGCAGGGTCAAATTCCACGCCATTGTCTTGTCCCCAGTCGATGAGCTCTCTCAGTTGTTCTGTCGCCTCGACGGCCGTTTCTTGGAGTGTCGTCCCGACGTTGAGGATCCCAATGTCGTCTGCATATCCAAATCGCCGCCGTCTTGTACCCAGTTTTCCGCAGATGGGTTCCGTGTAGAGCATGTACAGTATGGGAGACGTTGGTGAGCCTTGTGGCAGACCGCAGTGGAGCGGTTCGACCTCGGTCAGGGTATCCTCAAACCGCACCCTGGCAGAACGCTCTGTCATAAACGACTCTGTCCATCTGATCAGAAAGTGGGGCCAACCCTGCTCCCTCATCCGCACAACCAGTCGACCCACGAGGGCTGCATCGAAGGCACCTTTGACGTCCGCTGTTACTAGTGTGGCAACTAAGCCTTGGTCGAGAGCTTGTTCAATATCATGGACGAGTGCTGCTACTAGATCGGTCGCTGCACGCTTCGGCAAGGCCCCGAAGTGTTGTGGTGCCAAGATGCCGCGTTCAATCACTGTCCATGCTAGCCTTTTGCCGACTAGTCTTTCAAGCCCCTTCCCAAGACATGATAGGAGAGAGATGGGCCGATAGGTCCTGGGGTCAGAGTAGTCCTTCTTCCCTGGCTTGGGGATCATGACCACCTCGGCTACCTTGAATGGCTTCGGGTGGTACCCGACCATCAAGCACCTTTGAAAGAGGTCCGTTACATGCTTCCCAATGATAGGCCAGCATGCCTTGAGTATCTTCACGGTAAGACCATCCACCCCAGGCGAGGTGCTGCTAACCCCGACCGTGCATGCCTCGGCCTCCTCTAGCGATACGTGCTTTTCGAAGGGGATGGGTGTCCGCTGTCGCACTGGAACTGACCAAGGATTGGGAATGTCGTTTTCCCCGTTGTTTCGCTCTAGCGTGGCCCTTCGCAGTGCGTTCGCCTTGTCTAGCTGTGTCTCAAAGATTCTGTTACCGGTTATGATCGGGGGCGCGCTCAGACCTGCTGTCATCTTGTGCCAGGATATGATTTTGAACAGATCACTCGGGCTTTTGGCTCCGTCAATCACACCCCGCCAATACTCCCTCTTAGCCTTCCTCACAACCTGGCGGAAAACTTTCCTTGCGGTTTTCTTGTCCCCTTGACTCGTATTACTTTTTGCTGCGTTTCTGTATTCTTCAACCGCGGTTCTGCATTCATCATTCCACCAAACCGTAGATCGGAATCGTGACGTCCTCCGACCAGCTATTTTGATGCAGCTAGAGATAATCTCACCCAGGGTCTGAGCGTAGCCGTCTAGCTCCTCCCCAGTATAACCTAGCGATGGAAGTTCGTGCAGCCTGTCATGGACCATTTCCACCAGCTCAGGTATGTTGTCAACTGGTACGGTCCATCTACATGGCCTTGTCACCCGTTCCAGATCCCTAGAAATTGGTACCACGACCCGGAGTGTTTCATGGTCCGACGTCGAGTGGAGTGCCTCGCTGACTGCCGCCTCTGCCATTGGAATGTCGGAGAACACCAGGTCCAATACATGGCCATCGTCGTGCGTCGGCACATCGGGCTCGGAGATCAAGTCTAGGCCATGTGCAGACATGATGTTACCCAGCATCTCCCCTCCATGGTAGTTATGGTTACCCGATTCCCAAGAGGCGTCGCCGGCATTAAAGTCGCCCGCAACGACACATCCAGACGGTGGAATCCACTCTTCCAAAATCCTGTCGACTTGCTGCGGGTCTGTGGTTGACCTGTATACGCTAACAAAAGTAATACCTCGCACCTTGACCCACGTCACGTCCCTGGTCTGGTAAGGCCGGAGCTGTTGGGCTTGAAGGTGCTTCCTCACATAGACCAGCGACCTCGGCCGCGTTGTATCACTGTCCCAGTTATCTACCGGGGAAAACACGTTGTAGTTGGGATGCGCCTTGACCATCATTCTCCTGCCTGGTGGGACGCCGATCCACGGCTCCTGCATCAGAATAATGTCCGCCCTCTCTCCTTCGTAGTCGGCCAGGTTAAGAGCTAGTTCAGTCGGATCAATGCTCCTCTGCCCCCCTGCCGCATTCACGCAGTGCACAACAAGGTGTCCGCGTCGTGTCTGTGTCTGATTCCTAGTTGCATTTACGGGCATACGATAATCGTCTCCTCATTGTTGTCCTGTTGGCTCTCGTGAGCCGTGCCTGTTTCATCTTCGACTTGCATCGCATCAGCGCTCTGCCTGTCATCCCTGGCTTCGGTCCTGCCGCTTCCTGGAGCGACAGTACTCTCTTTTGCAGAGCTAAATGCCTGAGACCTCGCACGGTCGCCTGCCTGCCTTATCTCGCGTAATTGCTCCGCGCCTGGTCTGCGAATAATTCCTTTCACCACTTTCGGCCGTGCCGGGCACTTCTCAAAAGTGGCAGCATGCGGGCCGTGACAGTTGACGCATTTGGGGATTGGCTTGCTACAGTTGCCTTCGTGCACTGGTTTGGCACAGGTTCCGCAAATTATCTTTCCACAACGGTAATTTCTGCCATGAAAGGAGAAGCAATCTCCACACTGGGGAACTCGGGGTTCCCGGCGTAGACGGTACGACGTCATGGAGTGTGCAAAGAGCCTGAATGGCCGATTGATTTCCCCCGTAAAGGAGACGAGCCAGTCTGTCTCTGCGTCACCATCAGATGTATGCTTAGACAAGACACACCTCACAGGCCTTACGCCTGTCTGAAGTTCTGCCTCGTTGGCAACAGCCGTTTCGTCGATCTCGACTGTAAGCCCCTCCGCTGTCATGACTTTTCGTGGACAGCCCCGCAGCTTGTAGTGGTGCCACACGACATGTTCTTCAATTTTCTGTGCTTTGAGAATGTCGATAATCTCGCTCTGGAGGGCCAGGAGTTTTGCCTGGGTTGGCTTGTCCCGTGGGTGCAGCGTAAAGCCGGAAGCGCACCGGGTCACCTCGCGGAGTTCCAGATAGTCGAGTCCGAGTCTTCGCACGAGGGTGGACTTGACGCCATATGGTTCGAGTCGGGAGTTATCCATGCGCACAAATATGCGGTTGTCTTCTTGCTCCTTGCGGCGTGGCCGGTCCGTACGGTCCATGCGGTCCATGCCTCTTTCATCAGCTGCTGTATTTCGCTGAGCTCTGTGCGATGGAGCCGAAGTGTTCTTCGAGGCAGCTACTTGGGCGTAGGATGGTTTGACATGTTCTCCTGTCGGCGCTGCAGCATTGGCCTTCCGCCGTGCCGACCTATGTTCTGTAAGCCAATCATCGAGGCGGTTAGCGAAGAAGGAGCAGAACTCCATTGCATCGAGGTAAAGGTCGGTGCCTGCTTTTTGGAGGACTTGATCAATTGCATGCGCACAGTCCTGAAACAGCTTTATCTTTTCTTGCTGGATGCGCAGGTCGCGTTCAAGAACTGCAGCGACCTGATTCTGACAGTTGCCAGGGCTCGTTCTGCGCTCATCATCGTCGGCAGTGTATCTTCTGTCGTTGACTTCAACGGTGATGTCTTCAATCCGTGGTCGCTTAGCTCCGATGATGCTGTTGATCTTGCCAGTACCGCCTCTGGTGTTGAGGGGGGAGGATGGTGTGTAGTCGGTTTCAGTAACCTGTGACGGGCTGCTAGCAATGTCGCTAAGTAGGACTTGGCGGAGCCTGCTCGGGGTAGTGGGGCCGCATGGCTTCCTTGGGGTGCGAGGGAGAGAGGCTCCATCGCTTATAGTCCCCGGGCTGGAAGCGGGTGTGCCAGGCGGCTGGTCTATAGGGGTTGTCATTCAGGTCAAAAAGAATTTTTCGAATGCCAAGAGATATTAAGGGTGTACTCCAGTGGTGCCACTAAACTAGCGTAGTTGCCTTGTCACGCCCTAACAGCGGGGCGCCAAGAAAAATAGTTGTAAAAGTTCGTTGGCTTGGGCGATTCGTGACGTATGTTCTTAAATACCCGGACAGGTGGGTGACACAAGAATTGGCGCACTGGCCACTATAACCTCTCAACTGTGCACCAATTCTTGTGTCACCTACCTGCCGGAATGACCATCGTGTTTGAACTCATGCAGCTCTTGCGTCGCAGTAAAAAAGAAATTCCATAATATTTTTTCTCGGGCTACTACGTATATTGGTTAGCAACGCGCCATTCTAGCCTTAAAAGGGAACAGTTTTGTAGAGAAGTCATGGGAAAGCAGCAACTGGTGGACTTTATGCAGCGCTAGGGCTTTAGGCTAGTCACCCCTGGGGAGAGGACACGAGGCACCAGCATGGTAGCAGGGAGTTGACGATTGCGTTACATCTTAGCTAAGCACTAATCAAGTAGTTTATGTGCCTCAATATAAGATTAAGCAGTGCTTTGGCTGGTGGAATCCCCTCCACTTCGCATATACACATTGCTTGAAAAGCTTACACCACTAATCCTTTTCTATCAGCCTTCCTTAGATACCACAAGGCTCACCGTTGACAAAGCAGGAATGGAGCTCTTAGATGTTCCATTCTGGCTGGCTCGAGTTGGTTCCAACATCCAAGCTGTACTTGTCAATGTCAGGGGTTTTCTTCACTAGATAGATGCCGAAAACTCGACAAGCAGCAATGTCCTTATCAACATATTAGGTAACTCAGCTATCACTCCGAAACGTTTCTAGTTCTTTGTTAACATAGTTCAGCAAAATTTACAGAACCTGGGGCTAGTAGAGCGCTGCTGATGTTAATAGACAAAACATGATTGGTTTGCGAGTGTAGATTGCCTTGTTTTAATATCTTCTTATCCCTCTCCCAAACTATAGGAATTGAGGGGAAAACATGCGACTGTCTGGGTTCTCAACTTGCTTACAGCTTGACTTTGTGCCGAATCTCATCTCCAAGATTACTACCATCCCCCATGTTGGTTCCCTTCAATAGGGCTGTACACCGTTATCAAGTTGGTCACCTGCCAAAGGTCCCCACTCTCGGCAAAATGCGGTGTGCCCACTCTGTTTGTTTAGCCTAAAACTCTGTACACGTGGAAATGGGCCAATGCTTACGATGCTTGTCTTGTTTCAACCAAGATGACATACACTCAATGGTCTAATTAAGTGGATACGACCAGATGCATAGTTCCCCAATCCCTTGAGCAGGACTACGAAATGCTTAGATATAAAAGAGATTCAGTCCTACCAAAAGGTTGGTAGAAGCAAAGAACCGGCCGGGATAGTGCTTCGACACCTAACTTCCCGCTCTGCAAGCTTCATGGCTCCAAGTGTTCGAAATCCAAGTCCAATCCCATTACAAAACGGCCCGTACACCTTGTAGAGTTCATGACACCTACATTCAATTCTTTTGGACGGTACCAAACGCTCGACCGTTTTATTTCTTATCACTGAATTCTTGATTTCATGCCCATGATGTTTACTCCGGTCTATATGATTTTCTACGTAACCGTGGCCCTGGCGATATCGAACTTCACCAACCCTGTGGTATATGCAGACTTTGCAGATAACGATGTTTTCAAAGGCCCTGATAGTGCTTACTATTTCTCAGCATCAAGTTTTCAGTTCTCGCCAGGGGCGCCAATACTGAAGTCTTTCGATTTAGTCAACTGGGAACTAATTGGTCACTCCGTACCATCTCTTGCAGGATTTGGGCCCAAATTTGAGATGAATGGTACTCCGCCATATGTTTCAGGCGTTTGGGCCTCGACCATGCGGTATCGCGGAAGCACGGGCATGTGGCATTGGTACGGCTGTATCGGCTTTTCCAAGTCTTTCATTTATACTGCCGCCTCAGTGACCGGTCCTTGGACACAGGCGGGAACAATCAATACTTGTTTTTATGACTGTGGGCTATTGATCGATGATGATGATAAGATGTATATTGTCTATGGCCAAACCAACATTAGTATAGCCACATTGGCTTCCGATGGGTTGAGTATATCGACATCAGCACAAGTGTTTACAGGGCCTGACGGTCACACTGAGGAGGGTTCACGGTTATATAAGGTATTGAATGATCCCCGATGACTACAAAGATATGATTTTTGACAAATACACAAAGATCAATGACTACTACTACGTACTGGGCGATAGACCTAATGGCACTACTTACGTCTGGAGGTCCTCCTCTATATATGGAAATTGGACCTATCAAACACTACAGACTGGGGTTTCTTCACCTATTAGTGGTGGCGGGCTTATTGATCAAGGAAGTTTTATCCAAGGACCTGATCGCAACTGGTACTTCATGTCCTGCACGTGGTCCTACCCAGCTGGTCGAATACCTATCCTTGCCCCAATTACTTGGAATAACGACTGGCCAACTTTGGCTGTTCCTGGCAATAATTGGGCCGTTTCTTATCCGTTTCCTTCAACTTCAGCCGCCCCACAAGTCGCCTGGACTGGCACCGATGTTTTCTCTGGCACATCGCTGAGAGAGGCGTGGGAGTGGAATTTTGCTCCCGATATTACCAATTTCACCATCAACAATGGTCTGACGTTGAGGACAGCCACAGTAACCAACGACCTATACAAAGCACGAAATACTCTTACGCAACGAACCTACGGTCCTTATCCTGTAGGAACGGCGAAAATCGATTTTTCCGGAATGGTCGATGGTGACTCATGTGGGCTTGCAGCTTTTCGAGATTCTTCCGCATGGATCGGCATTATGCGGTCAGGGACTAGTTACAATCTTGTCCAAGTATCTGATGCTACTCAAAATGCGACCAACAAATGGTCCACAATAAGCAATGGCACTATATCAGCAAGGAAATCTATCTCTGCTGGTTCTATTTACATTCGAGTATCTATGGACGTTCGACCGAATGGTGCCAAGTCAGCAAAATTCTCATATTCTTCGGACGGATCGAACTTCACAACCTTTGGCTTAACATTCACACTAAACACCACTTATAATTACTTTACAGGCTATCGTTACGGTATCTTCAATTTTGCTACGAAATCTCTGGGCGGCTTTATTAAAGTTATCTCATTCACAAGTAGCTAAGGTAGTTAACTTAAAGTGTGAAGGGCGCAATTTACGGCCCAATGTATTTGTGTGGGAAGGTTGATAAGACAATCGAACTTGTTGAAATAAATGTTATCCCTACAGCTAAGTTCCGCCGAATACGTCACATGAGTCATCTTTGTCACTATAACTACAATCTAGATGGTTGTAATCTAAGCAGTCTTTAATTCCAACAGAACTATTTCTTGGAGGATGGGGCCTGTTCTTATCTTTATTCCTACCACTGTAGAGTGCTGTACCTTTGCGGACAGGCAAAAGAAGAACTAGATCACTTCCTTTGTAGTTCCAGCCGCTGGAAGTGGTCCTACCGTCCTAGTGATGGGCTCTATAAAGTTGAAAGTATATTGCGCGAAGCCGAAACCCGGCTCGTTATTAATAAATATATATATGTGCATTTACAAAGCACACCTTGCAGTGCTGATGATTCCGAGAGAGTAGAGGAGTGGGCTCGGCACGCCTGTATGCTTGGGAAGATCGACGAAATCAAACCAAATTCCGCGCTTCTAGCCTTTCCAGCCGAAATAAGATTTCAAATACACGACCTTCTTATCAGCCGATTCAACCGTGAGCAGGACCCATCGTGGGCGATTGGAAACACATGTCAACAACTGGTTATGCTAGAAGTGATTCAAGCTCCACAATATCGAACAATGGAACCGGCGATACTGCGAACGTGTAGGCAGATTTAGGGTGAAGCGGTCTCAGTACTCTACTCAGGGAATGTGTCTAGATAAAGTAGGCCGGAGCAGATGTTTCTCTTATGGCACCGATTGGCCCTACGAAAATCAAATTGGTAAAGTCCTTAGATATGTGGATGGCCGGCATGCTACCGTGGTTAATAATGCTCAACTTCTTGTCTAAGAAAACTCTTAGTCTTGAATATTAAGCTTAAACAATGATGACAAGAGCTACGACTATTGTTGAATAACTTTGTTTCTAGCTTCCAAGGGGCCGTCTTCACTATTTGGGTGTTGAAAAATAGCATCATTAGCACCAGCCCCCCAGATAGATCCGAGTTATTTTGAAATCAGTGTCCCACCATTCTGTGAAATTTGCCTGTTATCGTGGCTAAAGCGACGCTCTATTTCCTGCACTAAAGGCTCTACAAGCATGCCAAACACTGCACAACCGACCGCCACGTTGTTTCTTGCTATACACAGCTGTGAGAAGTGGCTCTCGAAGAGCTCGGTATACAGTCACAATCGAAATCAGTCTTCTAACCTACTCTCTTATAGTCTTCAGTTTGAGGTCCATTAGGCGGGGCGAAAGCTATCCCTCTTTACTCAAGAAACTCTCCAAGTGTAGTAGTAGGGGCTTGGTGGAACCTGGAGAAAATGGAGGGGGAGACTATGGAACGACGACCATGAGAATGTGGGGTGTACAGATGAAAATAGTGATCACGGCTACGGGTACGAGAGTTCAGCCGAAACAATAGTGTGTATACAGAGTCTCTATAAGCTCTCAATTACGCATAGCGTTTTAAATACTATTATCGGCAGATAATTTACAGCGGACTTAGTTACATGTCAAGAGAAAGCGTTTGAACACGAAAGGATCTAGACAAACCGCAAATAGAAAGCCATGTAAATAATTCTTGTATTTGAAATTTATTGGCGTAATCTGCCGCTTCTTTGAACTATTTCTCTCATGTTTGTAGAGTATATCCAGTATGTGTCAAACAATAAGATAGATAGTGCATAAGATGGTTACTGCACAACCAGCCACACACAAGCCACCACAGCCACACCCTAATCAAGTTCAGTTTTATTGATCATCTCCACTTCCTGTATTCTGTACTATATGTTACGAACGAGGCCATTACATGGGCCGCAGGCAAACCCCAGAAAGCACCTATTAGAGGAAGGCTTGGCAACCAGCATTGTGATTGGACAGAAACAGAATGAGGTCACGTGACCCTTCGGAAATGATCAGTGGTGATCAGTGCAGCGACACTGATCAAAGGACTATGTGGCTCAGCATTGATCAGTAGAAGTATACTGATCACCAGTGAGCAGAACAACATCAGTGAAGGAATGAATGGATATAATAAGGATTGGATTTACCACTCTACATAGACAGTCATTACTTCAGTGATCAATCTAAGCATCTATCTTACCCATAGGTGAAGCTCACGCTTTGACGACTACACTTGTGAATCTCTATTGCTCAGTTCACTCTGAAGGTCTATCTCCATAGTCTTCTTTTTGCGGCTAGCATATCTTGTTAGCATAAACCCTCTTGCATTATATCATTTGTGGTTGTGCAACCCGATAGTATAATCGTCACATATAGACTATAGACTAATAACAATGACTATTTCAACACCACCTTATTAGCCATTTCATTAGAAAACGGAGCATTTCAACAGCTACAGCGCGCGCAATTAGATCCCTGAGGTACTACAAATCTTATAGAAGAACCTATGCGGTGACCAAGCGCACCGCCGAATTTTCGAGCCACCAAGTACTGTACCAAGTGGTAACCATTCCGTAATCAATGGGATAGGGTATATCCATGTAATTTCTCTATATTCTGCCTAGCTGCGAAGTACCAATCAATACCTGCAGATTCTTCAAGTTATCAGCACGTGACCCTATACTCGGCACCTGCGACACCTGGCGTACACATTCCATAGCCACACATGTAGACAGGTAGTATGGACTTTGGTCTCGACGGATGATTTGGCTGTGTATCAAACGTTTCAATTATTAAGGAAATAAATAAAGCTTTATACAGATTATAATTTCCTAATATGGCCTCAAACCTTCCAAGGCTTGCTTATTTATCAAGTGGATATATATGGGGAAAAATAGGTGGGGATCTCGCGTCTTTAGACCTCGCCACTATGTGGGACTGCACGCGTGGAGCCTATCCGAGAGGGTCTCTCAATGCCTAATCTGACAGAACCCTGCATACTTGCTTGACTTGGCAAGATCCCATGGAGGTTCGTCTCGGCGCTAACCACCCTTTGCCTAATCGGAGAATTTGCCAGATCCAATTATGCCAGATCTTCATGTCGTTCCCGTTCTCGTTTACGTTCTCGTTCTCCGTAGGCTGCTGACTTCCGGCGTCTATGAGCCCCACTTACTGCAACACTTATTCAGGCGATGCCTAAAATCCATAAATTCCGTCCTTAGTCGAATTGTCTCCCATCAAGCTCGGCAGATACCATACAAGTAGGGAAAGTAATGTTCGTCCAGTATTGTGCATTGCTTGTCGACGATTTTCAAGGCTTGTCGTATTAGTTGAGCGGACATACTACCTGAATAGATGTGGAACCGCCCCGCTTTGCTGCGATCGCGCAAAGTGTGAATTTGTTAGGGTCAGGTTGAGACTTGGTCGTTCTTCTTAATTGAGTTATTAGCACCGTGTCCAATCAATAAAAGATCCGAGAACAGCGCGCCAAGACTATAGGCGTCGTTGGTTGAGGCTGAGTTGATGTCCACGGCATCGTTTTCGTTTGCGTGTAGAGCCTCGTTGGATGAATCTCGTATGGTAGCTGTGCCATATGGGTATAATCTCACGTTACCTTGCTATATAGCCTACACGCGCTTCCGCAAGTGATCCGAAAACCACCAACAACATTGCAATTCCGTTTGTACAAGACTACCCTCCAATTACTTTTAGGCCTCACTTAACAAATCGTACCATTAGAATCGTCCTTGCTTTAGTGACCTTGATTCCTTTCCTCTTGATTCCGAATCGCGACTATACGACTGCTGTCAGAAAATTTCGAAGTATCAGAATGGCCTCTTCGGTTAGATATCAATATACCCCATCTTTGGCCGCCGCAGTCATTTTTATCATTCTTTTCGGGCTTTCGAGTTTGAGTCATATCTTTCAGTTGATCAAGTACCGAACATGGTACTTTATACCATTCTTGCTCGGCTGCCTTTGTATGGATTTTCCATTTCTAGCTGCTTCCCTATCACCTCGCAGAACGCTGACATAGAATAATATTGCAGTTGAAACCGTCGGATACATTGGAAGGGGGTTGTCCGCAACTGAATCTCCCAATTGGACACTTCCCCCATATATCATCCAGGCGCTTCTGCTCCTTCTCGCGCCAGCACTATTCTCAGCCTCGATCTACATGATCTTGGGGCGATTGATTCGACTTCTCGATGGCGAGAAATTTTCAGTAATTAGGACAAAGTGGATGACGGCATTCTTCTTACTCGGAGACATCGCCTCTTTTCTTGGACAGGCAATGGGTAAGCACAATGATCTGTACCGTAAAACATGGCACTAGCTAAGACTACTAACTCGCCTTGAAGGTGCCAGTAAACTAAAAGACGCAACTACGTCAAGCGAGAGGGATCAAGCCCAGTGGATCATCATTGTCGCGCTGTTGGTGCAAATCGCATTTTTCGGGTTCTTTCTAGTCGTGGCGGGTATCTTTCACCGTCGCATCATGAAGAACCCGACTACGCGATCATTCAGCATCACACAACCTTGGAGACAATGTCTTCTCGTCCTCTACTGTGCAGGAATATTCATCATGGTGCGATCAGTCTTTCGGGTCCTTGAATATTCCATGGGAAAGGACGGGGAACTCCAGTCGAAAGAGATTTACCTCTATATATTTGACGCGACTCTTATGATTATTGTGTCGATTGGGTTCAATATTTTCCATCCGAGCAGAACTATTTCCGATCAAACGGTCGATTGTCTCCCGCTTTCAAGCTCCACCATTCAGCTAGAGGTCCGAAAGTAGACTTGGACAACAAAAGCTTATGTACGAGAAAAGGGGGGGGGGTGGGGGGGTTGGAGTAAGACTCACAAGGTAAATCTAGACCCGACAAGTCGGAGGGGAACAAATGGCGTATAGAACGTGTTTCAGCTAGTCCCGAAGGAATTTATAAAGGTATAACGTGCTTGGATCTCCGACTTCGCAACAATTTTTATAAGTAGAACAGTGCATTTTAATGATAGGATACAGGATGATGGGAGGTACTGCAGAGAAGGATTTTATATACAATATTAAGGATCAGATATGGTTTAAAAAAAATGCTACTGCAAGAGCTGCACTCCAATGCCAATTACTGCCCATGGTGTTTCGGCAAGTAGACCGTCGCTTGCCTTCACTAGCGCCGCGGCCCACCCCTTGAAGACCCAAAAGCTCTTCAAGACGACTCGTACAGAGAACTGCATGCCACCAAGTTTACCGACACAGTCGATGACCTAAACCCTACTTATGGCGATTCTTGCTGCAATTTAGGCTCCTTCAGTAATACTGCTAAGACGGAAGTCGCAGATGTAGCCGCTGGCGATACGATCGCTATGAAGCTCTTCTACGACGGTAGCATTGCCCACCCCGGCCCGGATCAAGTCTGTGAGACTCTGATCTTAACGCATTCTTAGTGTTTTGAAGTTGTCTATGAGTTAATATTTTATATGCTCTTAAAGACATGTACAAGGTGCCTGGCGACGTTCAGGAATATGAGGGTGACGGTGATTTGTTCAAGATCTGGGAGACGACCATTTGTGATGAGAGTGGCGACTTGACCAAGGATGCATGGTGCTCCTACGGCATATCAAAATTCGAATCTCAAGTTCCGAAGAATACTATGGACGGCTAGTATCTCATTCGAGCTGAGCACGTAGATATTTATGGTGCTCAAGATCATGCGGCCCAGTTCTTCTACAGGTAGATCGAATATTCTGCATTTTCCTATTGTTAACAACGATATAACCGAATATAATAGCTGCGCTCAAGTTGATATTTCCGGATCCGGTACTGGTATCCCTAGCAGCACTTACCAAATTCCAGGTGTTTCTAACGACAACATGACACTCGTTAATGGACTTTAACCTCTGGGTCGATGATGTTGCTACCATTAAGTCTGACATTGCTAAACACCTATCGGTGATGCTATTTGGAGTGGAAACAGAAACTCATCATCCTCTGCCAAGGCTAATTTCGAAGCTATCTCTGCATCCTCTATCCTAGCCGCGGCATCCTCTATTATAGCTGCTCCATCTGCTGGGTGCTGGTCATCGAAACATTCGTCCATCTCCAAGGGATCAGCTAAGTTTCAAGCTGCGATTTAGGGTACCATGTCTTGGTCGTAACGCTGAAAAGTCAGCCTTTACCAATACATTGAAGCCAGTTTTGTTATAGTCCGTTGACTTGTAGGTGGATTTGATGCTTTCATACGTGTGGGCCGGTTCTTAGTGGTTGCATATCAAAACCCCTTGAGCGATAAACTAGGAAATAATTTCATTTTTAAGGCTGATTTTTAATTGGAAGCATTATCGAGGACTGCGAACCGATTTCACCAGTCGGAATTTGGAATTCATTTAAGATGATTGTGACGAATATACTATTGTGGATAGTATAAACTCCAAGATAGAAAATGGGTGCTGGTATTTCTGCTAGCATGGTATGCTAGCCTCAGTAGTAAGTCTAGAGAGATAGACTATAGGTCGAACAATAGTATGGGCGTAGTCATAAGCATAATCGGTAAAACGTGATAGCTTTCACCTATGAGTTAGATAGATACTTTGATTGATCACGGAAGTAATGACTGTCTATGTATGAAATGCTAACTACTATATATCCATTTATTCCTCCACTAATCATCGTGGTTCACTCTAGCCAAGAGTGATCGCTCACTGGTTCGCCCCATAATCTTGTCAACCAGTCACGAGATCTTGGTTACCTAATACTTGCATCCTTAGTGTTTCACATGCGTGGCTCATCTACCCTGTATGCTACCTTGTCCTGGATGGTCGCATTACTCGCTTTCTCGTTCGTAACAATGGTCTGTACGCGATTAGTAAGTGCAGACCCTAGATCGCGGCCAATTTCAGGTATTTTAAGGATGATATCGCAAGGCTGATTATCCTCATTTTGATGAAAGCAGGCAATAATATATAAGGATAACCGATTCAGGGCCTGCCAGCCATTAAAAGCATTACGAATTAGGCTTGGTGACCACGCGAGTGTACTGATAACTGCTGTTTTGTGCTGTTTATACTAAGAAAATGCTCGTGATCTGATTATATTAGCACAAAGATGCGCATTTAGAGCTCGGACTGATGGATTGATGTATTCGAAAATCGTGCGTAACCTCTGATTGTGGGCTGCTGAAAAGGGTAGGTTGGAATGAACGATCCATTAGACTAGCAGCCATTGGAAGTAATCCTTATTAGAGCCTATAATGAAGGCACTCGCAAGGCACTGTTCGGTAGTGTCTTCAGGTTTGAGCTTAAAGTGATGGAGGATCGATCCTTCGGTCTTAGATTCGAGCTTCAGTTTTCTGCTGTCACCGACTGTTTCAGCATTATATTTTGGCTTGCCTAGAGGAGCTCGAATCTTATGATCTTCGAATACAGGAGACAAATCATTCTGTAATATAAGGAAGGAAAAGGATTCAATCTTCTTATAACGCCGCCGAATGCAGATCTTGCAAGCGGATCTGCGTATGGTTGCCTTTGCTAATATCATACCCGTGTTCACAGCACCAGTGCCGATGGGTTCCTCGAAATGCTGTAAATGTGAAACTATGCAAATACCGAAATAGAACGGCTTCATATTGCAACGGAGCAGCGTACATAGCGGTAATTTTGAGGCTTTGATTTGGCAAGCATGGTTGTGGCTAGGGCTTGTGGCTAGGGGAACCCATATTTTTCAACTATATTAGCATGCGTTGCTTTCATAGATTTCACGCAGGACAGGCACCGTATCAGAAAGACTGGATACACTACGCGGACCTTTACATTTTGTTCCTGATTGGTCAATTTCAGTACATACAGCATACTCACGATACCTTGATAATTTACCAAATCTCTTTTTTACTTCCCTCAGTCGACTTTCCTGTGAATACTAATTGCTTCCCATGGACCCAGAACTACTGTTCTTTTGACCTGATTCTAGTCTGGTTAGGAGGAAACTAATGTACTGGAAGTGCCAGGACCAAAGTACTGACGGTTAGGGAGTCGTTCCAAAAATCATGATTCTAGTAGTATCACGACCTATGACCACAGTTCCAGTACCAGGATACTACACATACGACTCACCAAAACACGTGGGAAACAACCGCATGCTCCTGATAAGCCACATAAGTTGCCAGATTTCAAAGTAGTTATCCTGTTCCAGTGTATGTAGGTGAAGACAGTGGCCAGTCCTCTGTTGGGTTGCCCGAGCTGCTTCACAGCAGTGCCTTTCAGTAGGCGAGAGTTTGTAGGACAAGCCCGCATGTCCGCTGCTCCGGTTCAATATTCATCCTCTATCAAGGGCGGTTGTGATGCTCTAGATTCTGCTATAGATGGACTAGAAGTGATAAGAGGAGGTAAGATAGCAAGCTAGTAGATTGGTAATACAATCAGAGCGTAAAACTCTAAAGCTTAAAGCGAGTCTTATTTTTAGCAGCTCCGTTGTAACCTCGAGTTCTCACTAGTCCCTTCCTGATAGGCTGATTCAGCTGTGATAATCTCCATAATAATTAGCTTTGTCCGGGTTTTCTGCTAATCGGAGCATTTTTCTGCTAAAATTTTACCATATAAACTTATGAATTGGTCAGAATTAGGTTCTATCCTGGCTAAAAATGGGTATAAAACGCGTCGAATGGATTGAACCCATTATATGAAAATCCACTAGATTTTCATATGGAATGGTGTCCATTTCTGTAGAGAACGAATGTAATGGCTGCCTTCGAGAATGAGCCGATGTAAAGGATTAATAACGGATTCCCGTGGATTGCTTGCGAGCCCTGGGTAAAAGTGGCCATTCCCAACAGAGGACAGGCTAAGCGTGCACACACTTGAATGTCCTAAATCAGTACGAGTATCTTGACATTTGGTACGTCGTGATCCCAATTAGATACATCCAAGTGGTCTCGTATACGGCAGGAGCTGTCGCTCGTCAGATGTGAGATAACGATGATAGAGAGCGGCAGAGGGTCATACCTATCGATTAAAATCGAGAAGTCGTTAAGTTCGATCGATTCGACTCGAGCGGTGTCCCGCTTGAGTCGAATCGAAATCGGAATCGGGCGAACTGAAAAAAGATTCACATCAGATCCAGCGAGAGACAAGGCAGCTGCTATAGAACCATGCATAGATTGACGAGAAAACTAAGATAAAGAGCTAAGAGAGACTATTGCATCCACAGCACCGGATAGTAAGACTATATAGAATAGCGCCAGTGGCTTACCTTACTACGTAAATACCGCGTGTACGAATCGTGCACACAGCTACGGTTAGTCTGATATTCTGCGCAGCGGGTCAAGTCAGCAACGTAGTACTTAGCGTCTTTTCACCAGCTGTTCGCAGCTGGGAAATGGCCCTTGTAAACTGCCATATAAACCTACTCCCGTAAGCCACCTGCAAGCCACATCACATTTACCCATGACCTTGTAAAAATCATCTAACCATAGGACCTTGTCATAAACTGCGTCAGTAGTGCCTGTCTATTGCAAGGCCTACACGGACCATAATCATAAACCATAATCGAGGAGCGCGAACGCACCCTTAGGCAGCAGCATATTCTTTTCTCAAAAGAATCTTAGTTCGCCAAGCCTTTCTAAACACCACCCAAGATTGGTAATGTAGAAAACGGCAAGCCTCATTCTGTAACACAGCCTTCTCCCTAAACATGGATAATTGCTTGGAAGCTCGTGTTGCATCCGAATAGTGGGGAAACTACACTACCAAAATTGCATGCTGCTTTTACTAACATTCCTTCCATCTACACCGCATCTCCATCCAACGAGAGGTCGCGCATTTGCTCCATTCTAATCACAAGTTACTCGACAAACCGAATACAAGCTCTATTTAGAAATTCCTATTGGCCTTATCAGACTACCATTCGGCAAGACGCTTTATGGAAGATAATCCTACCAGACCAGGTCTGGCCAACCACGTAAAATTCCGGCTGAACAACGCGATACTATTGGGGACATAGTCATACTATATAACTACATCAGAATTATCATATCTCTCATTGTGTGCTACTTGATACCGTCTACCTTTCCACTATACTTTATTACACACTAACGGCCATTAGAAATACGTTCAAAGAAAGCGACTAATGTGTAAAGCTTAGCGGCAATGTCGTGACCGTTGACGTTACCTGCGATACAAGAGTCTGAAGCTAGCACTAGTCTAGGAGGGGAAGAAAACAAAAGAGATGCATAGCGCGAAGCAAATCAAATGACCGCTTACCCTAGAACAACAAGTAGTCGATACCACAGCTAAGGCGATTGATAGACCTTGCCCATTATAGGATTTCTAACAAACAACTACACCAGACGACGATTGGATGGGGTAAACACTATATGATTGGGACGAGGCAGATGACTAATAGACAGACGAATGTCATATTCCTTCTATATAGAGCTTCATTTATTCATAAGACTAGTTATAGGAGCGTAATGGCATAGAGGGACTGTGGGCGTTTCCTATTCATGAATCCCGAGATTTATAGGTTTCATACTTACCTAGAGATTGCACCTGATATGCATGAGACTCGTGAGTTAACTATAACTGCTTAACAGGCATGGCATAAAATCGTGGAAAAGCCACTTCGTAACCTCATGAATATTATGCCTAAATTGTGTGAGAGACAGACACGAACTCAAAATGTAAAAGCGGCATGTCAAAACTGCAGAATAGGACTGGTTAATTCGATGCAATAGGCTTAGTTGCTTGGCGTGATAGGGTATCAAACTAAGTGCCACTAGCTGGCACACTGCCGGGGCGCAGCAAAACCTTCGAATGTGGCTACCCCTGAATCATGCTTTCAAACTTGGAATTAGCCTTCTTTTAGGCCGGCGAAATGGATAAGAAAAGCCTGCGGTGAATAACATATTCTAGTATGTCGATAATCTCTTCGATCTCCTCACGCATTTCATGTCAATTGGGTGCCCTGCTATCTATAATCGACTCTAACACACAAGTTGGACAGGGAGCTTTGCATTAAAATGAAAAGGTTGGGCTACAAGAAATCACGCAGTGGATGTACTCGATGTAAAGAACGAAGAATTAAGGTATGTGAGCTGGCCTGAGCTATCCTGGATCGGAAGGGGGAAGCACCAGGGTTATCTGGATAGTTCTAATTGATCAGGATCCAGTGCGACGAGAAACGTCCCTGTACGGCGTGCATAAAACATTCAATACCATGCAGCTTGGTGGTTTCTATCACAGGTGAGGAGTCCGTCAGCACAACTTTAGCTGGCCGGACTGAGCCGTCTGACAGGAGTCCAATGGTAAGCATTCAGAGAGCTCCGGATTCGGGCCTTCGTAACCTGTTATACTGATTGTAGAGGCAGTACGACCGCTTGCCACATATCTCCACTGCCCTAGAGCAGTCTGCCGGAACACCTGTAGTCTTGAATCTTGGACAAGTCAGCAACTTGCACAACCAGGACCAAGATATTTCAACATTTCAGACCGATCCATTCGTCTACTTTGCTAGATTCCTGACCGAGCATCCGATGCAGTGCTCCAGTGATTGGATTGCCACTGCCGGGTTGATGCATCACTATAGCACCGTTGCCTTTAGCACCCTGTCTGCAAACACAGAAGTCCACAAAGCTCTGCAATTTGATGTGCCTCGAGAGGGACTTCGTCATCCGTTCCTAATGCACCAGATTCTTGCTTTTTCAAGTTTACACCTGGCATTCCAGCAGAATGACCATCGCCAGTTGTATCTTATGCAAGCTTCTCAACATCAAAGCCATGCGATAACTGGCTTAAGAGACGCCTTAGTCGGCACCATCTCCCCGAACAACTGTCATGCAATTTACGCAACGTCTACCTTCATCGTCTTGGGAGCATTCGCCATACTTCCCTGTTACGAACAACGTAGCTGTTTCGTGTCCACAATTGATAGTGTATTAGAGATATTTACACTGATCAAAGGAATGGGGGTGATAGTGTCTAGTACCGTTGAAGATCTCAGAAGGGGACCTCTAAGGGGCCTTCTCCACAAACCCAAAGGCAAGGAAGGCAGGGCGCCCTTGAAGGATCTCCTGTCTCAGACCTCTGCCCTGAAATCCTATCTTGCATACACGGATACGCTCGACCACGAAGCCAGAACATGTATGGATGCGGCAACATCTGCACTCTGTGAGTGCCTTACTGAAGGGCCTTCTACTGATGATACATTGGATATTGAAAAATTGCGAGCCGTGATTCGGTGGCCGTTGTTTTTACCAGAAGAGTTTATAGAGTATGTTCGACGCCGGCATCCTGCTGCGGTAACCATCTTACTCCATTACTCTGTTATACTGCATTGCGCCGAAGCGAATTTCTGGTTTCTCAAAGGATGGTCTGCATCATTGGTAAAAGCATGTAATGACGTACTTGCCGGGACACCTTGGGAAGCAATTGCCCAATGGCCAATTAACGCCATAACATAAGGATGATAGCGGATGTTAGCTATAGTTTTATAAGACTAAACACTTTTATAATATCACGGTTATGAAACGCAGGGGCTTACCTAGTATAAAGTGGAAGAACTCTACTAATTGTTAGAGATGAATGAAGTTTGGTATAAGAGATATTGGCAAGGCGTTTTATAACATTTCAAGGGCTTGTCCAGCGGAGTTTGTTTTTACTACATACAAGTACATTAAACCTAGCGAAAGGAGGGAAAAAGAGTGAGCCTTTTCGTATCTAATCAATGAGAACAAGCTGTCCTTGTATGTGTCCAATCTTCTAGTCTATGCTTTTATTGTTAATTAAGCGAGAGATGTCCAGGCCTAAACATCAGCCAATAGCCTATGAAATATACAACTCTTAACACCATTACAATCGACTCATAACGTTACCCTATTCGTTGACAACAAACAATAATGATACTGTTCCGCAGTTCCCCGGCTGGCTACAAGGTGTGAAATCTATCGAGCGCTCGACGCTTACTTAGCCGTCCAAATCGATCCGATCGAGAGGACGGGTGCTCGATTCGATTCAACTCGACCTGACTAGCTTATTCTCGATGGGGTCATCGAGCGTACGTATTTTTCAAGCCGGTGTAGGGCATATAGGACATTTGCCCGGTCTGCTAACTATATCAAATATAGCTAATGCCAGTGAAGTGGATATAGTTTAAGTATTTTCCCAGTTCCTAAAATTTGAACTAATTAGTTTTTATCAAATTATAAAATCTCTTTACGTTTACTATCGTATAAATTCTTCGTTACGGAATAAGAAAAGGCCTATTTACAGGGTACATGTTATACACAGCTTATACGGGCTCGATAATATTAAAGGATTCCTCTATTTACGTGTTACGTATTGCTAAGTAGTGTTACGTATTATTATCTAGTACTAAGTATTATTAATTAGTGTTATATACTTCTGTGTTGGAATATGGTTATCCGCGGTCTCGCACGACCATATAGTCTAGCTAGTTACCGGCGTACTGACGGCAAGCCACTACAGCCACACCGTGGCTGTCGGCAGCTTGCAGCCGTATAGGCCAAACCCCTATCTGTAGATCGCGTACGATGGGAAGAATCCCTTCTTCCTTTCGTACGATAGCGCTGAATAGATCTATTTGTCGCCCAAACTGTACGGAAAGAAATGAATGGAGAAGCCATTCCACACTGATCAGTGTTCACTTGGCTGTGAACGCAGATTGGCAAGAGTGAAGAGACGGCGTTATCTGAGTACGTACGGTAGTACGTAGCGAGACGTCGTGCTAGATCCTATTCGTGTGAAAAGAGTAAAAAGACAACGTTATCTGAGTTCGTACAATAGTACGTAGCGAGACGTTGTATTGGATCCTATTCCCGAATAGAAGACGTGTACCGTTTTTCTTCTTCGTACGAAGGTGCTCAAGTCTGAAAGAGTCCTATCCCTTCCGTACGAACATAGAATTACACGTGTGTGCCATTACACATCGATAATGAGTTTATCACCTCCCGCAGAAAGCGCAGCTACCGGTGCGCACGAACCGGGCGACGAACAACAACTCCGACAAGATGGCCTATCGCACGAACAAATGGCAGAGGGGAGCGATATTACCCTTAATGCTTGGCGAGCCGGGACAGCATTCGAGTTTTGGGACCGTACGATCGATCTCGAACAACCGATTAACGAAAAACACATTAATACGTACATTGGTCAGCTCGTAGCCGAGTATCAGGGCATCTCAACGCTCCGATCACTCATACGAGCATACCAGGAAGATTTTGAAGGATGGACCACGTTCCAGTTCGGGCACGCCGCACGACCTTTCAAGCGTGCCATGATCGAGAGACTTGAAAAAGGAGGATACCATTTCCCAAGCGGCCTTACGCAAGACAAACAGCTCGTACACCCGCTTGGAAACTCCGAGGCTGTCAGAACACCTCGTGTATCACCCCGTACGAGCACCCTTACACCCGGACCAAGTCGTACGAACGAATTGCCTCTAGAACGGATCGAGGATAACCCCGATCAACACCAAAGGACCGAACAGCAGTCGTACGCACCGGATGGCGTACGACAAACAGTCGAGGCCCCCGTAGCAGGCAACCGACCGCAAAGAGACAGTAGGGAACGGTCGAACGACACCCAGGAAGTACCCGATCGTACGACTCGCTTCCCATCACGCCCTGCTCATATATATCAAGAAGAACAACCAAGGGCGTATGACCAGGACTACGGCTACGGCAATGTCCCACCGGGAGTACCATTCACGATGGAAAGTCAGGGATTTCCATTCGCACGAATAGCAACAGTTGGTCCAGAAAATCCGAACGACCCGTACGCGCTTCCACCACCCAAAAGAATATATAACAGCACGTGTAGCCCATCCCAGATCCAGGCCTTCGCCAAGGTTTGGAGAAAAGAGTTGAACTATACAGGAAAGCCGTACGATATCCTATACGACAAAGCCCGGATGTTTATAGCTGCGTGTAGGAAGATTGGAATCACCGAGGACCAATTCCACGCAGTATGGTCGTACATCTTGTCAGATCGTGCGTTAGACTTCTATGTTAACTATATCGGCCCCGACAAGATCTGGTATGATATCTATCGTGCGATGGATTTGCATTTCAACCACAGGGTGAACCACAACCAGTACTGGGCAGACTGGAGCTCGTTAACGTTCGTACGAATGCGAAAAGAACACGCCGACAAGACCAATTCAGAGGTCCTAGAGATGCTACTAGACAAGATGCAGTTGACCCAGCGTGCGTTAGGAGCTGGATATCAAGGAGAGATCCAACTTCGTACGGCCGTTGAAAGAGCATGTCGAGGTGTCCCAGAGTTGGAACCCGCTCTAATTCAACAAAGACAGTCGTGCGAAGAGCTATTCTCAGATATGAGAGCAGCCATCACTGTGGCGTCAGACCGTGAGCCGACTATATACCTGTCACAACTAGACTCGTATATAACCAGGTATCTTACCGACCGTACGTATACCCGTAACCCGACACAACCGTACGAGCAGAAAAGATCAGATGCTATCGTACGAAGACCATTCCGGGACAGAAAGTTTGGATCACGACCTCAGGGTCGTACGGACAAGAAATGCTTCGTATGTAAGAAGGAAGGATGTTGGTCTACAAACCACACTCCGGAAGAGAGAGCAAGATCTCGTACGAGATACTTGACAACATGCGATGACCAAGACATCGAACCTCTATCTCGGGACGATTTTGCATCGTACGTACAGGACTACGAGGGACAGGACCCTGACCTAGAGGATACGTACGACTCCGAAGAGGAACAGGGACAAAAGGTTGTCCAATACCTCCTATCTGCGTCGTATATCCATCGTGCGACAGGCACAAGTGTATACGACATGCCGTACGATCAACCATCCTCAGAAGCATTTGTCCTAGAGAACCAGTATTCGCACGAGTACCAAGGTGAGCTCTGGGATACTGGAGCATCACAACTTTCTACAGTCGGCAAATCACAAGCCCTCGCGTGGCTACGTGATAACCCTCGTACGAAGGTCAAATGGGGTCCTTCGTCTAACACATTCAACTTTGGAGGAGGAGAACCCTTACACGCAATTGGTACAATAACCAAAACCAATCCCCTTGGTGAGGTTACGTACTATATCCTAGAGGTAGACACCCCATTCCTGTTATCATTAAACGATGCAGACCGCCTTGGAGCATATTTTGATAACACTACAAACCGCATCGTACGGAAGAACGATGGTATCTCACTTCCGGTCGTACGAAAATGGGGACACCCGTTCTTTAACCTGTCTCGTACGGAGGCATCCATGTTCTTAACAGAACAAGAGCTAAGGCGCCTACACCGTCGATTCGGACACGCGCACGCAGACCGACTCTACCGGTTACTTCGGAAAGCCGGTATCGAGGATGTTAATCACTCCGTACTAGAGGGAATACAAAAGGTGTGCCACCATTGCCAATCGTACGACCAAGCACCCAAAAGATTCAAGTTTACGTTAAAGGACGACCATAACTTTAACTACGAGATCTTTGTAGATATCGTACACTTATCCGACGGGAAGGCCCTCCACGTAATCGACGCTTCGACGTCGTACCAAGCCGCTGAGTTCTTAGAAAAGGAAGACGCACGAAGCGTGTGGGATGCGTTATGCCGATGCTGGATCTTCGTATACCTCGGGCCGCCAGATATTATCTCGCACGACCCGGGTACCAACTTCGCATCCAAGGAGTTTAGGAGCAGCGCACGTATAATGGGCTGTACGTGTAAGGAGGCACCCATCGAGGCTCACTGGGCAATCGGAAAGATTGAACGCGCCCATCCACCCTTACGGAGGTCGTACGACATCCTGAAGAAAGAGCTCGGCCATAGTACCGACAACCGTACGATCCTCCAGATGGCAGTTAAGGCCCTGAACGATACCGCCGGACCAGACGGCATCGTACCAACGCTCTTAGTGTTTGGAGCGTACCCACGGATCAACTATGACTCTCCACCATCAACAGACAACATCGCCCGTGCGAAGGCTATTTCCAAAGCTATGACTGAACTCCGGAAGATTAACGCTCAAGTTGATATTAGTCGTGCGATCAATACTAGGAATGGTCCTAATCCGTACGCCGTAAAAGCACTCCCTCTCCGTAGTAAGGTCCTCGTATGGAGAGAAAAAGAGGGATGGCAAGGCCCGTACGAGATCGAATCGCACGACGGGGAGGATGTAATCCTTGATATGGTGAATGGACCGACCAGGTTCCGGTGTACGCACGTCAAGCCGTACTATGAACCGGAGGTCGAGGAGGAGGAGGATACGGAGGTTGCTCCCATCGTACGAGAACCACCACCTGTACGAAGGAGAGGACGACCACGTAAGAGTGTCGTGACAGATCCGGAGATTGCTCCTATCGTACGAGAATCACCACCCGTACGAAAGAGAGGGCGACCACGTAAGAATGCCGTGGCAGATCTGGAGATTGCTCCTATCGTACAAGGACCGTTCCCCGTACGACGGACAGGTCGACCACAAAGGCATGCAGTTATCCATCTAACTCAAAAGGAGAAGGATAATCGTACGCTAGCAATCAAGCTAAGAGAAGATGGTGTTATTACCACTCCTGGAGCACCGTTCGAGGAGTCA